TTGATTCTGATATTGATAATGGCCATCCCTCGCTTTCGATAAACCTTCTTATTCTCACTTGTTGCTTTAATTTATGCACTGTATGTTCTCTTAACAATTTAGTTTAATAGGTAGGTCCTTTTGTTCTTCTTCAGTTCGAATACATACTGCAACTCGCAAGCTCCCTTGCCTTTTCTTAGACATCGCTGTACGGTTTTCATTACATTATTAGTATAATAAAGTTCATCAACTGGTTTCTTAAACCTTTTTAAATTCTCCAAATTGAAATATACAATCATATTAATATGATTATTAATATTTCCAATCATATTGTCTTATACTTTACATATTTGACGTGATTGTACAAAGATACAATGGAAACATATATAGTTTATTGTATTCCCATTAAAAAAGATGCTAAACTTCTTCTTCAAGTTGTTCGACATTTCCATATATATTATTGTCATAATTAAGTTTTCTTGAATTTCCTTAAGTTAGAAATCCGATTTTAGTATTATTACCAAGTTAGAATAATCTAATATTACAAATTACATGAGTTAATTCCGATTACCAAATATCAATTTCATATCTTCTTCTTCAAGTTAATTACGGCATTCATTACTTTGACATGGAAGAATTAAGTTTTTGAGAACTTTCTAAATTGTATATCTGTAATTATAAGATAATATATACACATGTCAATCACAATACTACTTTCCATCAAATGAGATATGTAGTTAATGAAGGAGATATTCCCAGAGTGACTAAACCTAAACAGAGAACCAGCTGTTATTTTCTCTATTTAAACAGAACATTCTCCATGTAGAAGTCTCACCATCCTTCACACCGAAACCTTTATATTGTTAGTAAGATTTCATGCATTTTGTAATGAGTTTCGTGTTTGTAAGGAATATATTCTAACATATTATATGGTGAATTGCAGTGTCGTGCGACATGTTCTTCTCTAATGTCATTTACTTGAATAACATATTCTTAGTTTTTTTTTTAATAAGATTTGGTTCAAATATTTTCTTCTCTAATGCCATTTTTAATGTTAATGTCCGAATCAGAAACAACGCATGAAGGTTTGCACAATAACATGCAATATCTCCGGAAGGGATCGAGATGACATTTGCCTATATTAGTTATCCAGGTGATATTTTTTTCAACGATCATACTGTTAATCATGTTCTTAATCAATATCATCAGACCATTGTTGTTCAGGTAAATTGACTCACAAACTGAGACAGAGCTTGAAGAAAAGAGGCTACGAGTTGAAGATGCTCTTAAATCTACAGAGGTAAATTTTCTGAATCACGCTTAAATTTTCATTATGAGTATACTACATGGAACTATAATATTAATCTTGATTTCATTTAGCTTGAGGCTGCTGTTGAGGAATGTATCGCTGTTGTTTGTGGTTTCACTTTTCTTAGGTTTGCATCCAAAGTAGATGCCATCAATGTTACCCTTGAAAATGATTAGGAAAAGGTATAACCGGCAAAATCAAGAATTTACAGGACCTTCTTTAGGGATTTTGTGCAACTTGCTTTTCTCTGTCTCTATTTTCAACTATTCTTTAATTGTAGTTTGGAGCATATATCGTTAAAAGAGCACTTAGCGATGTTCTGAATAAAATTATGAACATTTTTACTCATGGCAATTATTAAAGTCTTATAGTATGTTCATTTATCTTAAAGATTTTGTGTTGCATGTTCTTGAATTCTTTTGTATTTTGTGTTTGTGTTCTTTGAAATTTATTATGAAACTGATATTTCTGATTCGAGTTACATTCTTTTTTGGAAAAAAAAGAATATATAGAGGAAAGAGCACTAAGCGATGTTCTGAATTAAAAGTATGAACATTTTTACTCATCGCAATTATTCAAGCTTGATAGTATGTATAGGTTTTAGTTTTGTTAATTAATAGTTGTCATCTTAAAGATTTTGAGTTGCATGTTGTTGAATTCTTTTGTATTTTGTGTTTATGTTATTTGAATTTTATTATGAAGCTGATATTTCTTATTTGATTTTGTTGCCTTTTGGGAAAAAAAAATTAATATATAGAGGAAAGAGCACTAAGCGATGTTCTGAATTAAAAGTATGAACATTTTTACCCATCGCAATATTCATGCTTGATAGTACGTTCATTTATATATAGGTTTTAGTTTTTTTAATTAATAGTTGTTATTTTAAGATTTTTGTGTTGCATGTTCTTGAATTCTTTTGTATTTTATGTTTGTGTTATTTGAATTTTATTATAAAACTCATATTCTGATTTGATTTTGTTGGCTTTTTGGAAAAAGTTTTATAAATAGAATAAACAAGACCAAAATCTGAACAAAAAGAAGAGGCCAAAGTTCTAAAAGAAGTCTTGCACACACCTTATTGTCAATGTGAAGAAGAAGATTCAGTCCTGTCAACTCTTTCATGCAGCAAAAACAAAGCATCACCCATGAAGAATGGGTTCGGTCGTACGGTTGAGCCAACAAACAACCGAAATCGGGTGCAATAGATTTCGGTTGTGCTGGTGAGGATTACTGGAGCACAGTTGGTGGAGGAGAAGACAGAGACGTCAGTTGAGGAGAAGATAGAGGTTTCAGTGAAGGAGAAGGATGTTTGAGTCTCATTTTGGAGTTCCTCTGTGTTTTCTGTTGTTGGAGAAGATAGGCACATCTTTGAGTTTGAAACCTTTTTAAGCAGTTTTGTGGTATGTTTAAATTGATCGTATATGTTTAGATCATATTTATACTGTTATGTGCTATTAGGACAAATATATGTTTAGAGTGTATTGTATATATGTGTGCTAAGCAATTGTAATCGCAAAATAAGAAATAAATGTTCTACTTTCATGGAAGCTTTATGCTAATGTTCAATGGTTATTGGTTGAGTGAACTGGAGTTTGAAAGATTGATATCTTTCTTAGTCTCTTCTATTAGAAATGACACTCATTTGTTGTTATCTTACGAATTTAATCATTGTAGAAACTATATAGTATCCATCTTTAATATATTGTTTTCTTTGATTATTATGTCTCCTGCATTGTGTAATGTTACAAGACATCTCGCTACGCCTTTATTCCACAATATATTCTGCGATCATAGCGATTCCCTGTGATATACGCACCAGGAAAACTTAATAGTAACAAAAAAATTCCAGTGTTGCTAACAAAATGTAGAAGAATAAGCTAAAGATGTTCTTATTGTTCTTTTCTCAGGTTTGGTTAGTGCAGCGTTTGTGGTCGGTGTGGTCGGATTCGTCTCACTTCTCATTCCTTTAACAAATCTGTCAAAACCGCTTACTTACAACGATAGAACCAACAATTGCCCCTGTTGACTTTGGGTATTGTTTGTGGAAATGAATATCTTCAACCACAACTCTGAATTTATGGTATCCAGTTTGCACTAAGGTAGGGCAGAGGTATTGAATTGAGTTTTTTTTAACATTTATACTCGAATCTTCTTTTATTGTTTAAAACCTTTCATTCTCTACTTTTGTTCTGAATCTTGGTTTTAGCCATTGATACTTAACTAAATATTCAAGTTTAAGTTTATGATTTTTGGTCATGACTTTATTTTTTTGCAGTTTATCTGTTACACAATTCAAGTGAACATTCACCTTCCCTTAACAGTTTATCTGAATGTTCAATATATTGTAGGATATATAGAGGTATTTTGTGTATAGGTAGAGAACATTCACCAGTACATTGAATCGATGAGAACAGCGTTTTTATGTCATGTTTTCTTAGTACGTAAGCATAGTTTTTAAAATTGGGCATGTTTTCAATATTGTATGGAAAAAAAACTATTGCGATATCTAATTTGTGAGGGTGGGGAGGGGATTTGAAATTTTTGTTTTGGAAAGATATATATTGCGGGAAGTTTGAGGAATCAATATCTATTTCACATCATTATTACTTTATTTGCGGGAAGTTTGAAGTATTAAATATAACATCTTTACGAACATATTTTTTGTGATGATTATATAATAGATATTGCTATTTTTTTTCTCAATTCATAGTTATATATTTTAAGAAATATTTATCTTGGCTAATTTTGCTTAGCATTTTTTTCTAAAGATATTTAAAACTGAATTGAATCATCAGCAATTTTAAATATTTTGAAATGATTCAGATAATAATTTTGAAAATATCTAATAGCCAAAATGAAATAACATACATAAATCAATAACTGAGAATTCATACGGTATTTAAAAATAAAAAACCTAAATATTTGTAATCAAAGACAAAAATCAGTATGCTTCATAATCAAGGAGTATATGTTAAGGAAAAAGAAATAAACATGTGAAATGATAATATTTTAAATCAAAAACATAACAATATGTTGTTTAAACATAACATCATTCACAAAAAAATCAGTTTAAGCGAACTTACCCAGAAGCTATAAAAAAGGGGAAAGTGGGCATGAGTGGTGGGGAGAAAAAACTTAAAAAAAATTAAACGAAATTATCATTTAAAAAGAAAAAAAAAATTATAAAAATGAAAAAAAACATATTCATTGAAAAAATGATAATACCACTTGCGTGTAGTGCGGCGAAAATGAAAGACATACATATTAGGGTCTATAAAAATTAAAATTAACAAAACATTTTAAACGAAACATTTAACGTTAATATTACCCCGCGCATTAGGCGCGGGAACACATCTAGTACCTGATTAGAGAGCAAGCGCTTGCGCTTTCTCTCGTTTAATAGCAATCTCTAGTGTCTTCTCCTTCGAATTTTACCATATGGACTAACAAATTTTCAAAAAGTTCAGAAGTGATATAAACTTAATACATTAGGCCATTGTAATTTTCCAGTTTCTGGTTGACAATGTATCAATGAAATAGATTCATCTCAACTGCTTACGTAAGCCTTACCACGGAGATAACAACAATAAAGTTCAAAAGAAAATAAGATACAACAATTCAGAATCAAGCCGGCAAAGAGTAAATCTGAAAGCCATGCTTAATCTATTCATTAAGATTAAGACATACTCACCAAAACTTATCTTGTAGTAATTCAAGTAAAACCGGCATGATCATCTCTTGCAAAGTAGCATTCCAAGAGCACCTGGTAAGCAGGCCAATTCTTGCACTTCAAGTCCATGTTGTCAAAGTCTGGGTCTGCTTTCTTAAAGTAGGCAAAAGCCTCACCCAAGTCTTTAGTCTTTTCAATTAGACCCACAAAGGTTGCAAGCTCAGAGGGAGAAAATGTCATTTTCTTTTCCTCCATCCACTCAAACATCTACCAAAGAAATAAAATAAAACATACGTACATTCATTATTAACTAATCCAATCAAAATCACAAACAACCTTTGATGATGATGATACCTCGTAGGCGTGCTGATGTTTTCCGTTCTTGTCGAGACGCCTTGCCCAGCGAACGAGATCTGCTTGAGTGATGGAAACTCCATATTCCTTCTCCCTCCTCCTCAAAGCATTTAACGTTTTTTTTACTCTAGTGACTCGACGATTCTCAAGTAGTTCCTCGAACATCTTCCTCTTCTTCCTCTGCGTTTTGGCTGCCTCCTTGGCCTTCTCCTTCTTAGCAGAATCTGAGGATCCATCGCTTGTCGCAAATAGATCAGCCTTGACGCTAGCAACAGAGGCCTCGACGCTAGCCAGCGCCGGACCAGCGATGGTTGTACATGCCCTCTTCCAGAAATGATAATTCTCGACACTAGCCGGAGCAGCGACCCTTGAACAGACCCGATGAGAAAGATGAGAACTTGAAACCAAGAGAAAACGGCGTAAGCTCATTGTCACAAAATTGTCAAACCCTACAAATTTACTTTACTGGCTCTATTAATATTGTCAAACCATTTTATTCCTGACAAAAATCAATAATTGGCATAGGGTTTAGGGTGGTTTAGGTAAGGGCTAGAGATGTTAATTTGGTTAACGAATCCATATCCGTAGTTTGTTCGGTATCTTTTAAGATATAAATAATGCATTGGTTTTTGGTTATGGTTCAAAAAATTTGATGTATGATTTGTTGCCAGCTGTATAAAATTGAAGGTTTTTGTTTCAGATTCTCGTAGTTGTACGCTAGTTTTTTTTTTTTTTTGAACAACTTTCATTAATTAATTAAACCAACCAACTACAAGGTGGGGCCATCCCGGGCATTGAAGCGACTAAGTTTTCCTTGGCGATCTTTGCAAGAGAGTCAGCCAGAAGATTCTTAGATCTAGGAACAAAATGAAACAAAATCGAAGTGAACATAGATACAAGAGTGAAGATGTCGAAAAGGAGACCATAGATCTCCTTTACTTGCTCCTGCGAGTTGATGGCTCGGATGAGATCCTGAGCGTCTGAGTAGAGTTTGATGTTGGTGATGCTGTGATCTAGTGCTTGGTTAAGTGCCGATCGGATGGCCATTGCTTCCGCCATCAGTGGTGAAGAGATCGTTCTGCTGCTTTATCTCGGTGTTGTTCGTTCCCGTCTTTGTCTACGAAGACCCATCCCGCTCCTCCGATGCAGGACTCCTTACACCAAGATCCATCCGTAAAGCAGGTAATGGTAATTGGGTTGACTTGAAATTACGGAGCAACGAAACGGACGACTTGCCATGACAATAATGGTGAAAAAAAAAGATAAAAGATCAAGATGATGGGTAAGGACAAAACAAAAGATCTACGGCTTAAAACGTTTGAATCGATCAATGTTAAGTTGTTAAGTAACTCAACTTTTGGCACAAGGAACCAAGAAACAAAAAAAACAAATCCCAAAATCGTGATCCGTGACTATTACAGAACAACAAAGTGTCTAACTTTAACCACCGGAGTTCAGTCGTAGAACAATGCGAGATTTTCCCGGTGACCCCCCCCCAAAAAAAGTCTAAACTTTTAAATCTAAATTATTAATGCTAGTATCTAAAACAAAACAAAAAAATGATCAATTTCCCCAAATATCCCTTTATTAAACTCGAATAATTAAACTTTAATTTTTTTTAAATACCTGATTAGAGAGCAAGCGCTTGCGCTTTCTCTCGTTTAATAGCAATCTCTAGTGTCTTCTCCTTCGAATTTTACCATATGGACTAACAAATTTTCAAAAAGTTCAGAAGTGATATAAACTTTATACATTAGGCCATTGTAATTTTCCAGTTTCTGGTTGACAATATCAATGAAATAGATTCATCTCAACTGCTTACGTAGGCCTTACCACGGAGATAACAACAATAAAGTTCAAAAGAAAAAAAGATACAACAATTCAGAATCAAGCCGGCAGAGAGTAAATCTGAAAACCATGCTTAATCTATTCATTAAGATTAAAACATACTCACCAAACTTATCTTGTAGTAATTCAAACAAAACGGGCATGAACACCACTGTCACAGTAGCATTTCATGAGCACCTTGTAAGCAGGCCAATTCTTGGACTTCACGTCCATGTTGTCAAAGTCTGGGTCTGCTTTCTTAAAGTAGGCAAAAGCCTCACCCAAGTCTTTAGTCTTTTCAATAAGACCCACAAAGGTTGCAAGCTCAGAGGGAGAAAATGTCATTTTCTTTTCCTCCATCCACTCAAACATCTACCAAAGAAATAAAATAAAACATACGTACACTCATTAACTAATCCAATCAAAATCACAAACGACCTTTGATGATGATACCTCGTAAGCGTGATGATGTTTTCCGTCCTTGTCGAGACGCCTAGCCCAACGAACGAGATCTGCTTGAGTGATGGAAACTCCGTATTCCTTCTCCCTCCTCCTCAAAGCATTTAACGTTTGTTTTACTCTCGTCACTCGACGATTCTCAAGTTGTTCCTCGAACATATTCCTCTTCTTCCTCTGCGTTTTGGCTGCCTCCTTGGCCTTCTCCTTCTTAGCAGAATCTGAGGATCCATCGCTTGTCGATAATAGTGACACAGCCTTGAAGCCAGCCGCTGAGGATGGAGCAGCAACAGAGGCCTCGACGCTAGCCAGCGCCGGACCAGAGATGGTTGTACAAGTCCTCTTCCTAGCCGGACCAGCGACCCTTGAACAGACCCGATGCGAAAGATGAGAACTTGAAACCAAGAGAAAACGGCGCAAGTACATTGTCACAAAATTTTCAAACCCTACATATTTACTTTACTGGCTCTATTGATATTGTCAAACCCTACAAATTTACTTTAGTGGCTCTCTATTAATATTGGCAAACCATTTTATTCCTGACAGAAATCAATGATTGGCTTAGGGTTAGGGTGGTTTAGGTAAGGGCTAGAGATGTTAATTTTGGTTAACGAATCCATATCCATATATAGTTTGTTCGGATGTATGATTTTTTTGTTATGGTTCAAAAAATTTGATGTATGATTTGTTGCCAGCTGGTAAATTTTTAGTATTATAAAAATGAGAGTTTTTGTTTCAGATTCTCGTAGTTATTCCTGTTTAAAATCATTTCTTGACTTGTACGCTAATTATGGTTGAAATATAACAAAGCAATCCAATATATCATATTTTGTTATTATATCTGTTTTTCTCTGGTCCTCTGATTTTTTGTGATTTTCTTAATAGTTGTTTCATATTCTTCTATGTGTTCTTGTGATTTTTAGGTATCTTGCTGTGATTCTAAATCTCCAATAATACAAAAATTGGAAACGCTAAAATTGTTCACTAATCTATGATGACCAAGATGATGGATTGGTAAAGACAAAACAAAAGATCTACGGCTTAAAACGTTTGAATCGATCGATGTTAAGTTGTTAACTAACTCAGCTTTTGGCACAAGGAACCAAGAAACAGAAAAACATATCCCAAGATCGTGATCCGTGACTATTACAGAACAACAAAGTGTCTCACTTTAACCACCGGAGTTCAGTCGTAGAGCAAGGCGAGATTTTTCCGGCGAACCCATCACCGTAACAACAAGAGTAATCCGATTCATGATCTCCCCAGAGACAACCATTATAAGCACTCTTGAAACTCGGACTCCTCAAATTCTCCTCCTCCGCATAACACAGCCGCTTCTTCGCCATCCCCACCGGTCGCCGCCGTGGTGTGCTCTGAGTCCGTGCCTTAGCCTTCGCAGACTCAGTAGCCGTCATGTAATTAGGCTGAGTCATCGAAGAAGGCGAAGAACACGGTATTCTCGGACTAGCTGATCGTACACCGAAGGATCTCGTGGCTCTGCACGACGGTGGAGTCGCCGGATACGATCTCTCATGAGTTGTGGTGACTATCTCAAGAGTCTTGATGGGATCTCTGGTGATTGCGTCGTCCCATTGCTTTGTAGCCATCCATCGGTCAAGCCATTTTGTTCTCTCTAGAAACTCCCTATCGTCGCCGGTTGATTGATTCCGACAAGACCTACTCCGAATCTTTCACACCAAGACAACAAAAACGTTATTATTATGAGAAAAAAATAAAAGATTAAACATTATATATTTTAAAAAAAAAATACTTTGTTGTAAATCAACGAATTAGTGTCCTTTAGTAAAATCGAATAATTGAACTTCTGATTTATTTATTTTTAAATACCTGATTAGAGAGAGCAATTGCTTGAGCCTTCTCTCGTTTAATAGCAATCTCTACTTTCTTCTGCAAAATTGATTCGGTTTCTTCTGAATTAAATTCACTGGTGCATCTATTCATGTCCCTCGACTGCAAAATCAGAACACTTATTGTCTCAAAGATCAAATGAACAAATAAAAATGATTTGTTTATAAATAAAAAACATTCACTAACCAGAGATCTACGGCTACGGATGTCTTGAAGATATGTTTTAGTGTCCCAAAAACCGTTAGATTCAGCAAACATTGAATTACGTCTTGCTTCAATGTTATAACAATTCGATGTTGGTGATGATGATAAGACTCTTGATCGTTGTTGTTGATGATGATTAAGCACTTGATCTTGAACTCGAACCAAAGCCTTGATGCATCTTAAAGTGAGTTTAGCTTGGTTTCTAACATTATGACCTCTCACTAATGCTTGTAGCTTCACTATCCCTTTCAATGCTCGTAACGCTCTCCTCGACTTTTAAATTAAAGAGAATGAAAAAAATCAGAGATACTAACAAATAACATTAAGTACTTTAGACAAATAATACAAGATTTTGTTCAAAATTTTCAAACAAATTAAAATAGAAAAACTATTAAAAATATGTTTTTGTTTACTTACGAGGTAGCCTCTAAAAGCTGTCTGAATAATAATGGCAGCCCAATGACGTCTTATATAACCAGGAGTTGTTGTTAGCTTAACGATCTCAGCGACCGCTTGATCCACGGCGGTGATAGTCACCGCCGGTTTGTCCTCCTCCTCTGTCTCCGTCGTAGGTATGATGTCGGTGACAGTGTTAGTGGTTTCGAGTTTGGTTTTTCGAAAAATCCATCCTTTCTTTTCCTTTTTCTACAATAAGCCAAAAAGATCGAAACATTCTGGTTAAATCTCAAGACCAATGAATCTAAAACACTATGTAGAAGACAAGAATAAATGTCAATATTAATTACAGAGAGGTTAATTAAAGACCTTATTGTAACCAGTTTCTTTCTGTTGTGTCTTCTTGTCGGAATCTTTAGACGATGACCAGAGAATCTTCTTCACGGCCGTAAACCATGACGTTCCGTTCTTCTTAGCCATCTTGAATTAACGAACCAGAGAGTCAGAGAGACAAAACTCGGCTACTATTATAAGTGAGGTTGGTGCTCAAGTAACTAACTACTACAACACCACGAGACTGTGAAAGATAGCATAAATGTAACTATATATTTATACACGACAGAGACCATAAATGAATTTTTTATTTATTTTGTCACGTAATGAATTCAATTATGAAGTTGTATTATTTTACTTAAATGAAGAAATTAAGGGATTCTCTCTCTTGTGCATGGTTTTGTTTTAACATTTAAAATAGTTTCACTTTCTCGCCAAGAACCTGATGAGCAAAAAGTAGAAAATGTTAACAGCTGTTGATGAAGCAATAATGCGTATGATAAAACAAACATAACTAAATTAAGAATAGACTAAAGAAATATTTGTGATGATTTTATAACAAACGAGTGGGCATCAGAAATGTTGCAGCTTTTAGTTGTTTTAAAAGGCAAGTACACTTGCACAGATGTTTACATAGGAATAGGATTATTGAATATAAACCATTAATTGTATAGTAAATGAAGATTTTAACGGTCGACGATGACATTGTAAATATCTTCAAGAAGATAGCCACAGACTTTAATGCCTCGCTGCACCGAGAATCCAAAGTTCCCAAATGATTTTAAAATTTTCCTTCTTTGGTAAATTGTAATTCAGCTCTCTTTCATTGGCGTCACGTGTTACACAACATAGATTCTAGTAATTAGATTTATCGTAAATTGCAAAATGCAAAGAATATAACTAAAATTATTATGATATACTAGTATGCAATTTGACTAGAGAATGTAGTCTTCAAGAAGTGTTACGTTGGATCAAAAATCATACTAGTCGAACTATTTTATTGGAAAACTTTTTTGTAAAAAAACTAACATTATTACCATCAGTTAACTAATATGTGTCGGCTTACATTGAGCAAAAAAATAGTGCGACACCAATCATACACCAAATAATTTTTACTTTTTGAAAAGAGAGGGAAAAAACACGAGTGAATTTGATTTCACCCAAGTAGAAATATTTTTTTTTCACAATCCGTAGTTTCTGCTCCTTACCGGCTACCACCAACTTCGAAATTGGATTTAGTATTGCGTTTGGACTTTGAAAAGTGATGTTTTATGTTGAATACAACTGTCATGCTCATAATCAAAAACTGAGTCTATTACTGAAACTCCTAAAAACTAAGATCCTATCGCATACATGCATTATAGATGCGAATGCGAGGATAATAAAAACAAGGCGTGCAAATAAAGGACGACAAGACCTCGAAGACTACAAAATATAGGTTTTAGCCAAAATACAACTTTGAAACTGAGATTCTTTGTTTTGTACTGTATTTTATTTTATACATGCATCGAGAAAAGGTCGCATGAGTGAGTTTGCTTGGACTAGTCAAAGCCTCCTTATCTACAACAAATTACTTAGGGAGTGTAACGTTTAGGCACACATTTTATTTGCATGGTAATGGTTATCATAAAGCTGGTAACTAACTCGTAAGAATTGAATAATTAATTTACCGATAAGATTCAAAGTCTTTTGTATCTATGTATGAGTTCCCTTCTTTACATTAAATATTTGGTTTGTGCTTAAGAATGTACACCATCAACATTATTTTTATTTCTCATATTTGGTAACTAAAAGTGAAAAACCTAACAATGATCTAAGTCATGCAGTCAATATAAAGTATGTTGTAGAGATATATGAGTAGAAGACCAAACATAGAATCAAGATGTTTTTGTGGCGTCCATAGAATCAAGATGTTTAGATTTCATTAACACAATTAATTTGGATGATATAAATCAATTTCAACGTTTATTCTCCTAAAGGGGAATATTATTTGTCGCTAATATTAGGAGAGGAATTAGTAGGTGAGATTTTGCATTAGTTAAATGTTAAGTAGAGACTAGAGTCTAGAAAGCAAGATGAGCCATGTGAGTTAGGTGTCTATAAGTATCATAAAGTGAGTAATAAATCCATAATGATCGAGTTTATTTATATGCTTAGCTATATTGAGATTATTTGTTCAATTATTACTGACATATGATTTAATTAGTACGATTAGGGTACACCAATAATCTCAGGGCAATAAAGCCATTAAACATTGACCACATATTGGGACCTCCTGAATAAGGCCTGAGCCAGTAGAAGGCATTGTCCTACCACCCTCTGCCCCCAATCAATAATTGTTGTTGTTTTCTTCATAACTATCCCTTTCCAAAAATATTTTTACCTTTCTAATTTAAGGAACTAACATTTATTGTGTATAATACTTATGGGAGAGGCTTGTATACCACTAATGGTGCATAAATGTTTTAATTGGGCTAAGGCTTTACTTGGCTCACTCTCACTAATTTTAGAAGAAGATGAGAAAAACGAGTAGCTAATGTATTCCTGATTAAAAAAGAAGACAAGACAGTGCAATCATCAAAAGGTAAAACCCATGACAATTAAGAATGGAAAATAAGAATATGAATGCCTGTTTGTTGGGCCATGACATCCGGAAATTTGGTCGTTGCAATAGTGTGTGAATTCAAGTCGGATTCTAAGGATGTCAATGATGAAAATCTGAAACTTTTGCAGCGTAAGACAAGGGTTTCAGTGTCCAGTGGATCTAGTCGGTATAAGTGTTTCTTGTTAGACGTTATCCAAAGAGCTAGAGTAACGGATCATGGATTGAGACTTGATCTCGTTTCATAGAAGCTTTAAATAGAACTATGTTGTTACAACTAATCAAGCATGAACAAGCACACAAGAATAAACGTTTAAAAAAACCGTAATATACAAAAACACCAAAAATTGTTTGAAACATTGATCTTTGCCACCAAAGCCAGTATGTTGTTGCATTAGGTCCCCTAGTTAGAAAACTTCAACCGCAAAACCGCAATTAACGAATGGAGGCAAGAACTGCATACTAAAGCAGAAATTTTGATCTTTTTGGAAGATAAAAATTATATATATTGTCATTTATGCGTCTAAAATTTTCCAAAAATATATAATAGTAATGGTTTTCAATTTGTTGTAAGCATGAGAAGATACAAACGATAACACATGTTCGATGAATTGAAGAGGTATAGTATTTTTTATTTCAATTGGAAGCATAAGGAGCCATACGATTCTTGGTGAGAACAGTATTGTACTGTAGTATATAACACTGTTCAAGTTTGGTTCAGACTTCAGATCATCTGACCAACTAAACAAACTGCTCCAAACTCTTTACTTTTAAGTTTTAACCATGAAAAATGTGAAATAGAGACGTCAACATAATCAATTCCAGTCAAACTGAACTAATTACTGCTCAGTATAAAGCCTAAAACATGAATGTGTAGGGTCCGGTCCATGTCCCGATTTGAAAAACGGCCCATCATTTTCTTTTTATACTTTCGTTTTGAATTTTTAGATCTATAAGAAAATGTCACAAATGTTTTCACTTTTCATTAACTGAAATGGCTCATGTCTTCGTAATCACACTTTTAACTCAGCTATCATTGTAGAGCACAACTGCACAACTCAAAATTCAATCTATATATCAAAGCTTTTTCATTGAAGAAAGTTTACTGAATTTTCATTTTTCATCACCATTTAATCATAAGTAAATTACCAACTTTGAAACAACTAAAAAGATACTTCTGAAGACATTTTCAAAATCATCTTATAAATTCAAACTTTAGAAAGTGTAATGTGGGATTTATGTGAAATATTAGAAAGTATGAAAATATCAAACTTTTGAAGTAAAAAATAGATAGCGAACCTTCAGATCCTTCAATCAATCCCCACCCCCATCTTTAACTTTACTTTTACTTTTGATAAACCAACATTTTAAAATCTTTTGATTTTTCCTCAAATTATATAATCGTTTAACAAAGGCCACATGTTGACAAAAAAAAAAACGAGACTAAACAAAGACACATATTCTCTACTTACTTTTTAGAGTTTTGTCTTCATCTCTTCACTAACTCGACCGTTCCTCTCAAAAATTTCAAATTCTCATTTTTCGAATCTCTAAAAAAAGGAATTTCCCGGCGTTGAAATCGAGAAAAACCCAATCTTTCCCGTCTCCGGTAACAATGGGTTGCGTCTCATCGAACCTCCTGAATCACGACGACGATTTCCCTCAGATCGGCGGTAGCTCCGCCTTTGGCAACCACATCGTCAAGCTAACCTCCACCACCTATGGTCTCCTCACTCTCGACCCTCCTCCTTCTCCTCCTATGACTCCGCCTGAGAAATTCACCATCGGTGCGGAATCAAAGTCACTCTGGTCTGAGCCAAGGATAATCAAGTCTGAGCCGGAGGTTATCAACTCCTGGGAGCTAATGTCTGGCCTCGACGGCGAGAGTTTCCGATTCTCGCCTCTCCCGAAAACTCCGGTGAAGTACAAAATCTTCGGCGGAGAAAACAAAGAGAATTCGGATCCTAATCGGAGAAGCCCTAGAAAATCTTTGAACGACGAGATCCTGAAACCGCTCGGAGAGAAATCCGAGAGGATCTGTTCTCCAGGAGGAGAGATTTCGGATCCCAATCGGAGAATCCCTAGAAAGTCTTTCAACAGCGAGAATCTGAAATTCGCGGAGAAATTCGAGAGGATTTGTCCTCCGGGAGGAGAGAACCGCGTGGTGATCTATACGACGTCGTTGCGCGGCGTGCGTCGGACATTCGAGGCTTGTAACGCAGTGAGAGCGGCGGTGGAGAGTTCCGGTGTAGTGATCTGCGAGAGAGACGTGTCGATGGACAGAGGATTCAAAGAAGAGCTCGCGACTCTAATGGCGAAGCGAGTTAGTAACAACGACGACGACGACGCATTGCCGCCTAGGGTTTTCGTGAAGGGAATGTACCTCGGTGGAGCAGAGCAAGTGTTGAGACTAGTCGAAGAAGGCTCTTTCGGAGAGCTGATTCGTGGGATACCGATAAAGAATGCTGGAGGCTGCGGCGGCGGAGATGGAGACGGTGCTTGTGATGGATGCGGCGGTTTGTTTTTCTTGCCGTGTTTCCGGTGTAACGGAAGCTGTAAAGTGGTGAATGGTTGGAGAAGCTCCGCCGTGGTTGTGAGATGTACCGAGTGTAACGAGAACGGTCTTGTTCCATGCCCAATTTGCAGCTAAGAGAGAGCTTGAATTTCCTCTGTTTCGTTTTCTGTCTCTGAAAGCTAATGGTTGAAACAGAGCAAATCTTGTGGTCACAGAGAAACTAAGTGTTATTACGTTATGTATAATTCAATACAAATCCTTTTATGTTCTATGATGTGATCTTCTTCTTGAGACTTGTTTAGTTACAGTAACGGATAATGAATATTTCTAAAGAATGAAATATAGCTTTGAAGAACAAACAAAGAAACAATCTTGGTGAAATTCACGGAACGAGTAATTTCAACAAACCAAGAAAAAAAAAGCTAAACTTTTATATCTGAAAGATTTGTGCTTTCCATGTCAGATGCAGAAACTGAAGTAGACTTATTGGATCTTCGTTTCTTCAGTCTATTATCCACCTTGTGAGTTTGATTAAAAGCTCTATCAGCTTTGGCAACGATCTTGGACACAGTAAAGCCAGAGTCTTCAAAAGTGCGTGCTCGTTGTGGGAGCAACGAGTCACGGACGAACACATCAATCCCTTCGTGAGTCCATACTCCCAAAACCGCGTCTCCTTTGAGTCCCACCGCAAACCAACCGAGACCCGAAACAGCAATATCCACCGAACTCGTGTCCCAACTGCTCCCACTCACTCGGAACTCCTTTCTCACCCATTTCCCCATCTCCTCCACACGCTTCTCCCCAATCGGCGGCTGCATCAAGAATCAAAATGTACACAAAGGTTAAAACTTTTATCCATGAGAGTCTTCAAATCAAGCTTTGATCTTAACATCAACTACAGTCTGATGATAAGAAGAGAGAAAAAAAGGCAGAGCTTTTACCTGCAAACGAGAACCGAAATGTTCCTCAAGCGTTTTGTGTGCATTCTCCTTCTTCCCCATGTGAAGTGGAACAGAAGGAGACGCCCAAACTGTAACATACACAGAATCCACAGATGATTCATCAATGTCAAGTCTCATCAGCCCACCAATATGAACCGTATAACCTTCCTGCAACAACAACAACAAAAATCCAAATCAACAACACACCACAATCCACTTTTGGTTACAATTGTAAGTAGAAATCACAATCCACCTTGATCCTGTAAGTCCTAGGCTTAAGCTCCCTGTTGATATGAACAAGCCTCTGCTCTTCTCTAGTGAGCCTCGTCGTGATCTGATGAGGATTCAACAACCCTGGAGTATCAAACAGCTTCGCTTCAAAAGGCAAAACGCCTTCAATCCGAATTATCCCCAATGTGGTTCCCGGCACCGGAGCCTCCGTCAAATGCCAGACTTTCCCGCCGAACACCTTCCCCACGGCGTTGATCAGAGTGCTTTTTCCGGCGTTCTGTGACCCAACGGCCCAGACTTGTCCTCTCTTTCCGGCCATTGCCGCTACGTCTTCGACCAAATCCTTGATCCCCCAATTCTTCACAGGGCTGACGAAATGCAGCTTCGTGACCTTGCTTAGCCCTCCGTCGCGAGCTCTCTGTCTCACCCAATGCTCAAACCTCGTCGGAGATAACGAGCTCGGTAACAAATCGATTTTGGTCACCACGACGACGACTCTAGGGACGTTTCCTGATTTTCCCTCTTTCCACGCTCTGTCGTTTTCGTCGATTGTTCTCGACACGAGCTTTGCGACTCTCTTCGGGAATGATCCGTCGAAATCTATAGCGTCGACGACCATTAGCACGACGGTTCGAGCACCGGAAGCTGAGCCCAGTCGTCTTCCCACCGTATGATCGAAATCGAAATCCGGAAGCAGATTCTCCACCGTCGGATCCTTCACTTTCCCGTAGTGTCTCAGTGAATGGCACCTCGCGCACACTAACGGTCTTCCATCGGAAGATTCTTTTTCCGTTTCGTCAATTTTGGGGTTTAGGTCATCGGAATTTGGTTCGACGATAACCGCTGGTTTGATCGAATCGATCAATTCGGGGTCAAGATTCGATTTGAGAAATCGAATCGAATCGCTCTTCTGTTTCTCGATCGATGGTTGGATGAAGAAACCTGGGTGTTTCGGATTGGAGTTCTGCATATGAACTCCACAGCCGGGGCAAACGGAGATGGTGACGGAAGTGGCATCATCGTAATTACCATCGCGGGTTAGAGGTGGAACATTAGTGGAAGAAGAATAGTGACGAGAAGGGAGAAGGAGAAATGGCGAATTCGATATGTTGTTGGAGTGATGGTGATCGAGAAATGAAGTTAGAAATCTAATTGGAGGGTTTGTTTCAGTGCGTATGGAAGATTTGAAGGAGGAGAGAGGATAAGCAAACAAAGGTTTAAGCTTTTTCGCTGATTTGGCAAGCATTTCCGTGATGAGAGGCTTTCAAAAATCTGAAATTTAGGGTTTATGGGGTTTTTCTAGAGGAAGGAAGACGAGAGTTTTTTGTATTGAGAAATTGGAAAAGTAGCTGTATTATTGATGTTTTTCAAATCAATATATTTTCGTCTTAATAACACATACCATATCTTTATATTATTAATTGAGAAATACTACATTTGAAAAAATTTATAATCAAAAAGTGAAAAAACCAATCTAATTGTGAAGAGAAAGTGTTTGGTTACAAATTTAGTTAGGGTCAATTTAGTACATTATAATATTTGGATACAAAAATAAGAAAAAAAAAACTATTTGGATAGAAGAATAAATGAAAAAAAATTGTTTGGATACAAGAATAATAACTTAAAACAAACCGATGGTTTATAAAACTTCCGTTTTTCAACTCTTAAAAATCTACAAAAAAAATAAAATTTAACATAATCTAACGATAATACCAAATCAATAGTATATATTTTTTGGATTTTCGGGTTTTTATAGACAAGTTATGGTTTGAGTGAAAATCTGAGACCTAATTTTATAGATATATAGAGATATAAAAATTGTTCGGAGTTCTTTGAAAATTTCTATTCGGGTTGGGTTCGAGTTTTTTTTTTCAGTTTAGGATTTTCCAGATTTTTTGGATTTCGGGTTTTCGGGTTTAGATATATTAAAAAAGTTTGAGTATTTTAAAATTTTGATTAGGGTATTTGGGTCGGTTTCCGGGTGAAAAAGTTTCAAGATTTTTTTTGTTCAGTTCAGGGTTTTCGGGATCTTTTTTTTCAGATTTTCGGGTTTAGACATATTAAAAAAGTTTAGGTTTTTTAAACTTTTTATTAGGATTTTTTGGTCGAGTTCGAATTTAAGGTTAAATTTTCTACACAAATAACAAAACCACAACGTCACACCGTACAAACGTGCAAGTACTCTACTAGTGTATAAATTACAAAGGAAAGCAATTGTTTTGTTTCTCACTCTCACCAATATCAACATATTATTTATGTATACTTTGAAATTTAAATTTTAGACAATGAGATTTGTCGGTTTGCCCCACTAATTTCACAAAGTGAAACTGTGTAGATTCAGCCATTCACAATGGTTTTGCATTGGTTGGATCAGAATTTTGGTGTCAGTTTCATATGACATATGCATATCTAATATATTATTTGATCACCACATACAATCTGATTTTGATATGCAAGTTTTATGATGTTATATCTTTTGACTAGGTATAATCTGTTTTCAAAATAACACCGATGTTAGAGAATAATCGGTTGAAAAAAACGGCAACGGTGAGCAACCGTGGGATTAACTAAAATCGGCGATGTTGTTTGGTCAAATGCACTTGGACTTATGTTTACCGGTGGTGTTGTTGTCGTTCAGTGTCGTAGCGTGGTGTCCGGTGACTGATTAAGAGGTTCTCCGAAAAATGTATCAATTAAGAGAAATATAGAGGATGATGACGATTATTGCAGTGAAGATTAATTGGAGGCAAGCAGTAAGTGGGAGAATGCCGCTCTTGTTTTTTGTGAAGACGAGAAGGGCGTCGTTGTTCATTAAAGACGAAGAGATCTGAGTTGGGTAGAGGAGAAAGAGTAGGGTCAGAAATGCAATTTTGAGAAAATGAAGGTTCATTATTAAATAATTATGAGAGAGAGGCAGAGAGCATCTAGTATTTCTAGAAATGCCCTCAATGTGTAGTCAATTGCAAAATCTTACCCATGTAATTTTTAACCCTTTAAGATTTTATCATATTTTGCCTAATTGATAATGTTTTTTGGAAAAAAACTTCATTAATAACTCTAATAGATAATGTTTTAGTTATATATATGAAAATATTTGAAAAATATATAAAATATAGTCAAAATTGCATTTTCGTTTAATTGCCTCTTAATCCTCGTCCAAATCCTGACCCGACCATCCGATTAATAATTACGGATGTTTGAACATAGCTATAATGGAGAAAATGTGTTGAAGCAAATATAATAGAGAAAAGTGGGAAAAGCAAAGCTATCAACTCTTGTAAGTGTAAGTACACGTATCTGAACACATACTTGTGAGTTGTGACGTGTGACTCCTGCATCAATGATGGTTAAAATATTATAAATACGCTATTTTTTTAAGTATTTTTAATAAAAATGGTTAAAATATTATAAATGTCATGATGTTTTGAGTCAACGTTTGTAGTTAAGAACAAATACATATAAATCCATTTTAGCAGTGACTTTCGATTTTGCAGGTTTGACTTGCATATTTTTTAAGTTGAGTTAGATTTGCACACAAAAAATAGTTAGCGGTTTTTTTTGCATAAAATCATTTTAAAATTTGTCACAAATATAGAGATATCTTATATTGCGGGGTTATTTTGACTTCAGAGGTTTAATTTGCACAATTTTAAATTGAGGGTTTAATTTGCAAAAAGAATTTAGTTTGAAGGTTGTTTTGCATAAAACCCTAAAAAAAATCTCCATAGACCGATTCAACAGTTTGACTTATTTGTGCTCACTGAGAAAGATAAATCAAAAAGCAAAACTACTACTATTAATATCTAAAAGTTAACATTATAAATTAAATTTCCATTTGATTCCTCTTCCGAGGATAAAAATTTAAATGAGGCACAAAATTGACTTGTTATTCACTGAGAAAGATATTCTGCTTGAAAAGAAGGATGTAGATGTAAAAAGATGAAAAATTTACGAACAAAAGCAAGTTTTAAATAACAAAATAAAACACCCATTAAACAGAGACAAACACCCATTACTATCATCAGTGTTTTTCTCTTCTGCTGTGGAACTTTCGCTCTCTAGAAGTAAATATAAAACAGCTCGAAAAGTAAGAATAATCCAAAAGATATCCAATGTTCAAATTTATAAAAACAAACATTTAATAGATTGGTCTTCGATACTAATACAAAAAAAATCATCACATATAATAGTCACCGATGAAACTTTTGGCATCATCGATTGGAATACCGAATCCACAACCAGCTTCATGCAGATTCTTGCTATTAATTAGCGACCGAAAATGGATAGCAACAACTTTCCCATCAAGATCAACGAGTGGACAACCTGAGCTACCCTTTTAACAAAATAAAACACAGAAAAAACTATAATTAAACATTCAATTATATTATAATCTGTAAACAAAATTTTAAAATATTGTAACTCAAATATACAAAGTTATCAACTATTAATTATACTTTTCTAAACATGTTGTATTTAACTAAATTCATTCTCCTTCGGAAACACAACTGAAAACTTAATATTTAGTTCAATTAACTTTTTTGTTAAACATAACAATTAGAACTAATACGAAAATAATGTGTACGGCAGAAAAATCTACATTAATATCGAAAACTAAATTCATACTTTTAATTTAGGTTGAACTACGTAGCCGATTTGATTCATGCAAAGGTAACATAAATCGTAGTTTGGTTTTCTAATTTTTATTTATCATTTTTGTGGCTGTTGCTAATTTTGAAACACCTTTGAAAACTGTATACAATATGTAGGCCTTTTTGTAATTATATTATTAGTTTCGTAGAAATCATGATTGAATTATTGAATTATAAAATCATTCTCTAGTAAGTTCTCTAAAAAAGGTTTAGTGTAACTACTAATTAAAGTTTAATAGTATTGACATACCTTGTTGGTATAACAATCTGTTTGAAAATAGAGCCTATCCAATCCTCCCCAGAATAACATTTCCTGTTTTGTCCGATCGATACAGCTGCAATATATAGAATTGAGCCAAAATTGTTAAATAAATATTAAATAAACATAGTTCTCAAAAAAAAAATATTAAATACAAATTATAATAATATTTAAATAAAATTATCATAATGAAATAAATACCTCATTATACCAAAAGTAACGGATCTGGGCAGAACGAGAGGAGAACCGATAGCCACTGTGAAGTCTCCCTGACGAACATCTCTTGATGTACCAAGCACAACACTAGGAAAATCCTGTGAAGGCTCACCAATACTGACAATAGCCAGATCTGCATCGAAATCATATTTCTTCACCATTCCATTGAATTGTTTACCATCTGCAAAGGTAACAGATACCTACAATAACAAAATCAAGACACTAATCCGTCATTATTACTGAATTATGAAGTTTTATTGTATATAATTTCACATATTTAGAAAATGCTGAATTGTATATTATCATATAATAATGTAATGTGAAGATAATGATTTGTGAAAGTATATATATAATTAACTGCTTGAATAGATTTAACAGTACATTTATTTTTCACAACTGTTATTCATTCACGATGTGTTCTTCACTTCTTTGATCAATTAATTAAATAAAATTAAGATAATAAAAACAATATATAAATGTGTTACCTTATATCCAGAAGGTGGGTACGTATCCTTTTTAATATACTTTCCGTTTGGGTTAAGAACAACGTGAGCACAGGTTAGTATAGTGCCCACGTTGTCAATACACATCCCGCTAGCGCTGGATTCATCAGGACCACCGTAAATGTCTGATAAATCACAAAAAGACAACAAAAAGAAATTAAAATACAAAAAAAAAAAAGCTTCTCTGGATAAAGAGATACAAAAAAAACAATAATATATAATAAATTACCTTGCGGAACGTGGATATGGACGACGGCGGGAGAGACCATAGCAGCAATGTCGGAGATTGTAGTCCTTCCAATTGCACCACCAAGAGGTTCAGGTGAAGAAGAAAAACGTCTCTGGAAACAAGAACACGTAAGAGACAGCATTTGCTTGAGATACAAGTAATAAATAAACAATATTTGACAATAGAGTTAAATACTATATGGTATGGATCTACCTTCGGCTTCTCAGCAGAAACAGGGGCCACCGGCGCCGGAAAAGTACAGGTCCTCCAGAGCCTAGCCGGAGCAGTGATCTTCAAAAGATGAGAGGAAACCAGAAGCGGTCGGAAGTTCATCGTGGCTGTCAAACCAAAAATATTCGTTAGAGAGTCGTGCGTTTGTGTTTGATATCAAGTATATATCGAATGACCATCATTTGTTATAACCAGTAGATAGAAAAAATCTTTTTATCAAAACAGCAAACTGAAGAGAAGTTACGGACCTTCGACATCAGCATTGCAACTGTTTTGGTTAAAAGCTCTATCAGCTTCGGCAACGATCTTGGAGACGGTGAAGCCAGAGTCCTCTTCAAAAGTGAGTGCTCGTTGTGGGAGCAATGAGTCACGGACGACTACATCGATCCCTTCGTGAGTCCATACGCCTAAAACCGCGTCTCCTTTGAGTCCTACCGCGAACCAACCGAGACCCGAAACAGCAATATCCACCGAACTCGTGTCCCAACTGCTCCCACTCACTCGGAACTCCTTCCTCACCCATTTCCCCATCTCTTCCACACGCCTCTCCCCGAAATGTTCCTCAAGCGTTTTGTGAGCATTCTCCTTCTTCCCCATGTGAAGTGGAACAGAAGGAGACGCCCAAACTGTTACATACACAGAATCCACAGATGATTCATCGATGTCAAGTCTCATTAGCCCACCAATATGAACCGTATAGCCTTCCTGCAACAACAACAAGAATCCAATCAGCAATCAGTCAATAAACAACACAATCCCGTTTTGGTTACAATCGCAAGAAGGATATGTTATTGACCTTGATCCTGTAAGTCCGAGGCTTCCCTGCTGATATGAGCAAGTCTCTGCTCTTCTCTAGTGAGCCTCGCTGTGATCTGATGAGGATTCCACAATCCTGGAGTATCAAACAGCTTCGCTTCAAAAGGCAATGTAGTTCCCGGCACCGGAGCCTCCGTCAAATGCCAGACTTTCCCGCCGAACACCTTCCTCACGGCGTTGATCAGAGTGCTTTTCCCGGCGTTCTGTGACCCAACAGCCCAGACTTGTCCTCTCTTTCCGGCCATAGCCGCTACGTCCTCAACCAAATCCTTGATTCCCCAATTCTTCACAGGGCTAACGAAATGCAGCTTCGTGGTCTCGCTTAACCCTTCTTCACGAGCTCTCTGTCTAACCCACTGCTCAAACCTCGTCGGAGATAACGAGCTCGGCAACAAATCCATCTTAGTCACTACGACAACGACTCTAGGGACGTTTCCTGATTTCCCTTCTTTCCACGCTCTGTCGTTCTCGTCGATTGTTCTCGACACGAGCTTCGGGAAAGATCCGTCGAAATCTGAAGCGTCGACGACCATTAGCACGACGGTTCGAGCACCGGAAGCTGAGCCCAGTCGTCTTCCCACCGTATGATCGAAATCGAAATCCGGAAGCAGATTATCCACCGTCGGATCCTTCACTTTCCCGTAGCGCCTGAGTGAATGGCACCTCGCGCACACTAACGGTCTTCCATCGGAAGATTCCTTCTCCGTTTCGTCATCTTTAGGGTTTAGGTCAGCGCTATCGCTATTTGGTTCGACGATAACCTCTCGTTTGATCGAATCGATAACTTCGGGCCCTTGAGAGATGGTTAAGAGATGAAGGTTCGATTCGAGAATCGAATCCCTCTTCTGTTTCTCGATCGATGGCCGGATGAAGAAACCTGGATGTTTCGGGTTCGAGTTCTGCATATGACCTCCACAGCCTAGGCAAACGGAGATGGTGACGGAAGAGGCATCATCGTGGTTACCATCTCGGGTTAGCGGCGGAACATTAGAAGAAGAATAGGAACGAGAAGGGAGAAGGAGAAATGGCGATTTCGATCTGTTGTTGGAGTGATGGCGATTGAGAAACGGAAGATTCGAAGTGATTGTTTCAGTTCCTATTGAAGATCTGAAGGGGAATAGAGGAAAAGCAAACAAGGGTTTGAGCTTCCCTTTTGAAATCTCTCTCCCTGCTTTCGCCAGCATTTTTGCTGCGCGAAATGAAGACGAAGAGCTGGAAATTAAGCTTTGCTGAAGAAGATGAAGTCGAAAATCTGGGTTTATGGGATCGAAAATCTGGGTTTATGGGGTTTCTCTGGGAGGAGGAGGAGGAAGACGAGTCTTCATGTTTTCTTCATGTTTTCCAAATATATTCCTATATATTATTTATTCTTTAACTCAAACATACCATCTATAAATTATAGGGATAATGGAATATAATAAATGTTTGGTTTCTCACTCTCACCCGTCACCATTACCAAATTCCTTATCACGAAAAGACAACAATATCCCTGATACTCACGAGTCACGAGTTACTCCAAGCGACATGTGCAAGTAAGTTTAAGAAAAATATATACTCCGATTTTTAAGCAATATAATAAAATTATATAAATTGAACGTGTCATAATTTTTGGGATAACTAGTAGTAGTATCAATTTATCCGATTATGTTGGAAGAACCTACCCACTTTCTCCGCTTCTATCGAGTCAAGACCTATCTATACCATTTCTTCAAATTTTATATATAAATGAAACTGTTCTAACTAATTACTCATTCTAACAAAAAGAAAACTTTGATCCGTCATTTGATCTCTTTGTACACAATTATCATCTGCCGTGTATAATCATTATCATTGCTGCAAGTCTCGGTCTTTTTAAATCATGCTCATGTTCATGTGTAACTCTCAGTTTTTCAGTGTTCTACGATAGATTCACGAAGGATCTGGTCCACCACCATCCTTTATATATCACACCCTTTTGGTTTAATGTAATACTTTTGACCAACGCTCTTTGAGATCAAGTTAAGGTGGTTATTTTTTGTTTACTTCATTGATTTATTACCGTTTATATTTTTCTTATATTTCAAACTGTGTTTTGCAAATTGCAATGGAACACTTTGAAAAAGAGCACATTTGATATTCCGTAACACCCCAATGATGAGCCCAATCTATAGAACACGAACCATCTCCCAATATGTAGGTTCGTATATTTTTATGTTTTTTATGACCAAAAAAAAAGTTAACAGCAATTTTCTAATAGGTTTATAGGTTTGTTGATGTTTGGATCGAAACATTGCGATTTTGTCAACATTTTATCGTACTAACGAAATAAATCGTAAGAAACCACATGCATGAGGAGGAATGGATTTGTGGAAATCTCACATTGAGCTGATTTAGCGGATAAAGTGGAAAAAAAATGCAGAGAAAACATTGTAATATACTGTGTTTATTTTACAATTTATTAAATTTCAAAGGAAATTTTATGTTCACAGTAAGTTTATATTTATTTCATTCCGGATTCAATACTGTAAATTTTAATAACACTATAAATGTAGTATTATTGGATATATATATATATATATATAATTTTTTTTTTTTAAATTGTATCAGAGATTGTTAAAATTAACGAATACAGTACAACATTAACATAATTTTCTAATGCTTTTTCTCTCCTAATTAACTTCACTTTTATCTTAGATATTTCTTTTCCACCAAAAAACATAATTATTTATATCAACTATACTTAAATCATTTTACAAATATTTCATTTGTTCCTCTACATTGAATTTTAATTAAAGAAAAATTAGCAATAGTTTTAAGAATTTAAAATTAATCAAATGCAATTTAAACAGAATAAAATTGAATGGAACAAATATAATATTCTTTCTTTGTCGTCTACAGATATTGCAAATACATAGTTATTTTGAAAATATTTTTTAATGTGTTGATATACTATAATATATTCTCTCTATTTCATAATAAATGTAGTTTGGTTTTTTTCAAACAGATTAATAAAATATTAAAAATTTCTGTTTTATCCCTAGTTAATACATAACATTGTTTAATTTAATCACTTATTAGTCTGAGAGAATAGTGATAAATCTGGAATTATATTAAAATTTTGCATTAAAAATGTAGAAGGACACTTAACTATAATGAAAGAAAAATTATAATGACACATTAATCAGCACCAGCATGAAAATACTATCTAATTGTAAAGTCATCAAAATATGACAGATGTGAAAAACTTCACCACAAAACAACATATGTGAATAACCCAGATTATGATAAATTAAGCAACAAACAAATCTCAGAAATCAACATACAAAGAGAACATAGTGAAAAACCTGTCAGCTAAACAAATGTAAGATGGTGACTAATGATTTCGATTATTTGTGAATTAATACACACATTCTCTAATATCACAAAAAAAATCCTGCACCCATACGACGACAAACAAAATGGTTCAATTAGGGAATAATTTATGACAGTAAGATTTTCAAAAATAAAAGCTTATGATTGAGGAATTAAAATTGGAACCAAACAAATAAGAACATCAACAAAAAAGAACAGTGACCAGCAAGACAAACCAAGGAAACAAATTAGCTGAGAGATCATCAGATTAAGAATGTCTCAAACGGATCATTAAGAATTATGGTGTTAATAGTAACCGAAAGTGCTGAAGATTCCTCTGACATGTGGTTCAATGTAAATATGAAGAAACGGTCTAGAAATGCACAAAGGCAGTATAGCCAAATCCTATACAGACTTGAGGAAACCTCTTGCTGCAGAGAAGCAAGAAAATATGTAAGAAGAGGCTATCAGTTCATTGTGATCACATATTCTTTCATAGAAGATTAAAGTGTTCTCATAATTTGCTTTGAAAATGATGTTAATTACTCTTAATATGCCGAATATGTTTTGTGTTTGTAGCTAAGCTGACGGAGAGAAACTCGATTTGGGATGAGTGTGGACAACGTCAAGGCTGTTACAAGGCTTTTAAGGATCCCAGCACTGGCTCATACTCTCTTTCTTTCCAGAACTAGTGGTCTTAATGTTTTGCTTCTACCACTTAATGTTTAGCAACGATTTGGTTACCATTGTAATGTGTTATGTTTCTTGATGCATTGGTACTGAAAAGATACAATCTTTCTTTGGATTTAATATAGCTGTAAATTCAAATAATTCAGTGTTACAAGTTACAACAATGGTTGGTTATTTGTCTCACAATCTCGCATGATACAGAAAATACAACAAGTTATTACATGATTCAACTAAAACCATGAAAAGCCAGAAGATCATGTATTTGTTCTGGTTTTTTTATATGTTTTAAAGATTATATGTGATGGCATGCTGCTCCACTTACTCTTTTTTTTTTTGCCTCGTGACAAGAGAGGAAGAAGATGACTTATGAAAAGGACGACACAATTGTTTAGATTAGGGCTTTTTTTTTTTCCTTTTCTATAGTGGTAGAATAGTTACTTGGTATAGAATTTTAAATTGTTATGTCTGATTTAATAGGATTTGGTTCGGTTTGGTTAACTATTATAAATCAAAATTTGGGTTATGACTGGTTTAGTTTAAAATCGAAATCAAAATTTAAAATGCCTGTAGCCAGTAGAAAATAAATCTGTGTTCAAAGGGAACAAACTTTTCGAATCAATCTATGGCCGAAATAAATAAATCTATGAAAACCAATAAATTTGTCAAATTTAGTTAAATCTATTGCCAAAGGAAAATAAATCTGTATGTATAGCTGATTAAGTTTGTCAAAATTAAGTAAGTCTATGTGCAAAGAAAATTAAATCTATAGAATTAAATAAGTCTATCAAAATTAACTAAGTCTGTGATCAAAGAAAATTAAATCTATAAAAACTAAATAATTCTATCAAAATTATGTAAGTTTGTGCCCAAAGAAAAATAAATCTATAGAAATTTAATAAGTCTATCAATTTTAAGCAAGTCTAAGGCTAAAAAAAAAACAAATATGTGGATTTGTTAATAAATCAGGATGTCAAAATTAAGCAAGTCTGTGGCTAAACAAAAATAAGTCTATTGTGTGTGTAAAATAAGTCTGTAGTTTATTAAAAAAAAATTATAATGGCATTTCTGTAATTTATGTTTTTTTTGTTAACAAATGATTTGAGGGTAAAATAGGTATAAAAACTTATTAGTAATAAAATTTAAATAAGAGCTAATCTAGTAATTAAACTATGAATTAGGGTAAACTAACTTTTTTCCCAAAATCAAAGAGAAAAATAAAGTAAATTGTTTAGAGTTATCAAAGACTCTAAGGGCATCTCCAATGTATTGCCCCATATTTGACTCCAAAATGAAGAAATCTCAAAATGGAGTTGAGTTTTGCCTCATTTTTTACTTCATAAAGAATATTCTAAGTATATTCTTTTTGAAAAACTTTTATTAATTACTACATTTACATTATATATTTATATATATTACAAATTGCCCCATAATTGTTTTTTGATAAATTTCTTTTTAATGTTATTTCTAATAAAAGTATTTTCCATTTCTTTTTAAATTTATTAGTGGCTTAAATAATTAAATTTCATGTTAAATATGTGTTATTTGTATTTTAGAGTCAAAATAAATATCAAAATAATCAATTATATATTTTAAACTGAAATAATTAAAAATTTCAAGGACTCTTATATAAATTAAAAACTTTAACTCCAAAATGGAGATGAAAATGGGATCATCCCCAATTTGGGGAAAAATATGGCATTTTGCCATTTTGAGGTTGAAAATGGAGTTGGGTTGGAGCAAAATTAACCCCAAAATGACAATAAAGGTGAAATATGGGGTTGGGTTGGAGATGCTCTAAGAAAGGTAGTTGGTACTAACTTTCAGTCAAATGCATATACATATTTATAAATTTTAACCTTCAGTCAAATACATATACATGTTTACAGACTAATAGAAGTAAAAAAAAAAAGTAAACAAACATAATATTTATAACATGATAAATTTTAGAAATAGAAAATTTGAGATAAAGCGGGGTGTTAATATCCTAATAAATTAAAATAAAAAACAAATGATTCATATTTTTTAGTGTTAGTGCTTGAGTTAACTCCAAACATAACAAAAACATGAAAGTTAGTACAAAAACATCATAATTCAAATCAACAAGTATAAATAAAATTAAACAGAAAAACTATCGCAAATAACCCCGCACTTGCGCGGGGCTTCAAACCTAGTACTGTCTAATTATAAAGTCATCAAAATATTACAGATATGAATAACCCAGGTTACAATCAATTAAGCAACAGAAAAATCTCAGAAATCAAAATACAAAGAGAACATGGTGAAAACCCTGTCAGCTCAACAAAGGTAAGATGGTGATGAATGATTTCGATTATTTGTGAATAGATACACACATTCCCTAATATCACAAAAAATCCAGCACCCATACAACGACAAACAAAATAATTCAATTAGAGAAGAATTCATGACAGTAAGATTTTCAATCCATAGGACACTATGAATTCATGACAATACCTTCATCAAAAACTACAGTGTGAAGTGTAGCCGCTTCAAGAAACATTAAGAGTAGTGAGAAACTCATGCGTGTTTCACCCTCTCGTGGCCAAAGTAGTTGATAAGTTCAATCCATAGGACACTTTGATTCTCGGTCATTAGATGCGTGTGATTCACAGTATGTAAATTCAATCGATACGACATTTATATATATGCATGTGGTTTGGTTTATTCGTTGCTGGTTTTTTGTGAATGAAAGATTACACTTAAATGGGGGAGGAATGTTGGATATTTAAGTGAATAAGGTGTTACAACATGTACCAAGGTGTTCCAACATGTTGCGAACAGGTGCCTTTGGTAATCATTAAATGGACGGTTGCAAACGTTTATTGAGCCTTATGAGAACTTTATAAGTTCTGTTGTCTCTCTGAGATAGGAAACAGAAGAATTCGAGATCTACAGAGATAGATCTGATTCACAAAAGCAACCAAAGTAAACACACACAAGATCTCTTCTTGTTACTCTTTGATCTTAAGCCTAGACAAAGAGTGGACGTGATTGTCTTATCCTGCGAGGGATTTCGTGTAACCCAAGGCTGTATAGGGTCGAAATACTCTTTAAGGAAACTGCTTCGTACAGGATTCAATCACAATCCAAGATACCCAAACTTTTATCTCTGAAACACAGTTTATCTGTTCCAACACCCGGAAACAGAGGAAATAAACCAACATCAAGTAGGTGATAATGATCATGATGATGATGGTGTTGTTGACAATGATAATGTGGATGAAGTAGAAAATGAAACTAATGAACATGATCAAAATGAAACGAATGACCACAATTTACTTAATATATAGGATTCAAGATTTTGGGATGCTCTTGATCAAAGATCTATAGATATCTTAGCCAGAATTTTTATTGAATTTTTGAAAGCTAATGATACAACCGGCCAGGGACTTTTTGAAGTTTTTAAAAATGTGCTAATTTCTTTAGATCTTGATCTTGATAATGTGCGAGGCCAAGGATATGACAATGGGGCAAACATGAAAGGATAGCATCAAGGTGTTCAAAAGAAGCATCTCCTAATAATGAGGTTTAGAATTTCTTTGGATACCGTTGGAATTGGAAACAGATCTAGAATATTTGTAAGGAGAGCTTTAGTCTCTAATATTTAGAAGTTCGTCTCATTGTTTCTCTGTTTCAGTCTTATTTCTCAATAGGTCAGTCACTCTTAACGTCATTATAATGTTCACTCATTGATTATTTTTGGGGTGTTGTTGGTTTTAGCACTCAAATGATAGAACACTAATGCTATTATTGTTATATCTGAAATGAAAGAAAGCAAAGTAAGAATTAAAATCTTTGTTCTAAATCTATGTTTTTTCAGAGCAACGTCAACTTTGTGATTAGATATGGGATGTTTGGCAACGTCAAGACAAACGTTTAAGACAAAGATTGAAACGGTGTATTTACTTCTAAAGATTGATGATACAATGAGTAATATTAACTGAAAAAGCAGAGGACTCGCGATTCCGAAACACCAGCGCACCGTGTTTTTCTTTATTAGAAATCTTTCAAGATGTTTACACACTCTTAAATTGGAATTACACACAGCCTAAGACAACCCTTAGCTTGTTACCAATTGATTTCTAATCTACACTAAACACAGATTAACAACAGAGTTAATCTCATGTTTCTACACCGATCTGCAATTTAATGCCCTTACGGTTTTTCAATAAGAACACAAAGCTTATCCTGTAACTTTTGTTCTCTAAACGGCTGACCTCTTAAACATTTCATTTCTTCTTCTTTATAGTCGAAAGGCAAGGCTCCTAGGTCACAAGATTGGTCCGTACGAGTCCACCTCAGCAACTCGTGACACGTCATTAAAATGCTTCCAGTTCACTGTTCAGCCGATGTTGTTCCAACACTCTGTTTGTTGTTCCAACAGCTCTCCAAGTTCGGCATTCACTGCTTCACACCATTACAGCACTTTCAATCTCCCCCTTTTTGACTGAATATGTCAATCCAAGCATTCCTGTAAAACAGTCCACATAGACAGCAACAAAACATAGATGCAAAAAAAACCACAAAGGATATTTAGACGAAACACATTATGACCTTCTTTGCATTTAGCTTGAGATTTTAAAGGTTCACATAAACGCCCACCACAACAAACAATTCAATCTCACTCTCTCCCAACAAAGAAACTTCGCACAAGGAGACCTAAACAACTCCCCCTAAAACCCAGAGACGATTCATAAGAAACTCTAATCCTTTCAAGGGAATGATTCACCAGATTTTTTCACCTACCAAATTCTCCCCCTGCTTGGATGGCACTATTCAGTTAAAAACATAAACAAGACGAGCAAACCACAAATACAAAACAGAGGAAGTAGAGAACTTATTATGACTTGAGCGATTTTGGCAGGGTATAGAGTGGAGGCATGAAACGGAGGAAGAAGCACGAGTTTGCTTCCTTGCATTGCCATTGCGTACAACAACTTTGAAATGTGGCAATAGAAAAGATTCATGTGCGATGCAACAGAAAGACACAAAAGTGAATTTTCGCTTTGGTGTCATGAAGACAGAAAAGTGAATCTTCCCTTTTGTTCTCATCTCTTTTAGCCTTTGAAAAGTTCATAGTTCGCCCACAACTTTAGGAGAGATCACAAAACATCTTTGACTGAACCTGTTACATGTCCTATCACATCTCACAGGAAAACATTAGTGCACACGGGCCACAAATAACACAAAATGCAGAAATACCCAAAGACAGCCAAGCAGTGGACACAACAAACAAAGTCAACGGAAAAAATACAAGCAACTTGGATGTTCAGATTAAAGACCCCAGGAAACACTTACAAAATTATGCATAGTCATCTTCTTTGAAGCAGAAGATGAGGAACTTGTTCCAGCTTCGTCTGCACAGATGAGGAGATGATGTGTTTCCTTCCCCCCTTTTTTTTTTAATATACAAAACAAAACATTGTTGGAACACACAGCTTGTTGTTCCAACATGGCAGCTATTTCTCAATATTGAGGAGCTTTCACACATGCTGATCCATCGCAGGTAGCTAGCACACTGACATATCCGTAGAGAAGACAAGTGTGAATGAAGCAGGGGAGTTTTAGCGCAGGCCAGAGGACACCAAAACTGATCCAACATCTTGATTAGAGCTTTTAGGAGAATAATGCAAGTTGATCAGACTTTGATGTCCTGGTGATATAGAGAGAATCACCTGAGGACTTATTTGCCTCTGACATGGAGACAAGCCATCTTCGTTTTATTTCCTCCTTTTTTTTTTTTTTTTTTTTTTTGAAGATGCTCCATGTCAATTTCATAGATAAGCTCAGCTTCATCGTATGAGATGTGTTGTTTCTTACTGCTCCTTTCTGCAACAACATCTCTTCCTTTGCAAGAACCACCCATAGGGTTTTGTGTTCATTTCTCACCACACAACACTTCAGTCACACTTGTCAAGTCTTGAGGACATGGAAGGCAGCTCTTTCCCACGATAGACTTAACAACAAGAAGTTTTGAGTCAAGGACAAATGTACATTTCCTGAAAAACAAATCAAAAACCCAGAAAAGAAAACACAACAGATTCCCACTGTACAAACGAAACCTGTTCCAAAAAACCACTTGCAACAAAGAGGATTAGAGTTCACAAACACCCAAACATTTTTGTAAATGTACAAACGTGTTTAGATCCAGGGGTTTAGTGAAAATATCAGCAAGTTGACACTCAGATGAGACATGTTCTATCACCACTTGTTTAGCTTCCACTAATTCTTTATGAGGAGATGACGAGTATCAATGCTTTTAGTTCTAGAGTGATGCACAAAAGTTCCAGAGATATCAATGGCATCTTGATTATCACATTTAGCAAGTAAAAGATCAGAAGTCATACCATACTTAGAGCCCATTTGTCTCCTCCATAACAGTTGAATCCAAAAGCTTCCCAATTCAATGAAGCTTGCATCGCTGATGGAGATGAAAACACAATTTTGCTTCATAGTGGCGCTCATATGGGTTTTTGATGACTTGTTGGAACACATCATAAACTGTTGCACCAGATTCTTTGCAAAAGTGCGTTGAGACACACTATTATCATCCTCAAATTCCTCTTGCACAGAAAATATCCAGAAACAGTTTTCCAAGAAGTCTCTGAATGATTTCGATTCCACAGCAGAGACAAAACGTGAAAACATCACCATCTCCTTGAGGTTTAACGGATTTCCACTTGTTTTCTTTCTTTCACCAAGCCTTCCTTTCACATGTTGTGGAGAATGATTCTTGCATACCCAGAATGGAACAATCTCTTTAGACTTTTCTTCTAAGCTTTCGTGATCATCCTCTTTCCCTTCTGTGATAGAGATGATCTTGCAGGGTTTGGTCTTTGACACTCCATTTTGATCAAAAAATTTCGGAATCATACTCACGCCATGGTCACTTCTGATTTGTTTTCCCTTACTGCAAGTTTCAGAGACAGTCTTCTCTCCATGCTTCATCTTAGGAACATATTCGACAATTTCTTGACTAGCCATCTTGGATAAACTTCTTGCATTCAAGTGTCTCAATTTTTCATGCCACAAAACTGGATTTCCATTCTCAGCTCTCAAATAAACATCTGATTGTACCCACATGTAGCAATTGTTCTCACTGCGTATTCCTGACATGACAATTCGATTTTCACTATCATAAGCCCAACACTTGACTTTGTTGAACGCCACTGTCAGATCTTGATCACATAACTGACTCACGCTTATCAAGATTAGCAGTTAAACCTTTAACAAGTAGACATTTTAAGTTTGGCAAGCTCGTTGTCAAGAAGAGTTCCTTTCCCTTTGATTCTTCCCAGAGTTCCACCACCAAAATCACATTGCTTTCCTTAACTGCAAAAATTTACCAATTTTCCTGAGATCCAGTCATGTGTTGAGAGCTCCACTGTCAAATACCAAGGCTTGTAGTAGAGTTAAGAGAAGTATATGCCACCATGCATCAAGCTCAGATTTCCCATCCAAACTTGTGATTCTCTCATGTTTGGAAGTATCTCCCTTGCCTCAACATCCCATTCACTTTATCAGCAAACTGATAGCAATATCTTTTGATATGGCCTTGTCTCCCACAGTAGTAGCATTTCACTCTTTCTTTGAACTTCATGTGATCAACTCTACGTGTTGGAACACCACGGCTCATGTTGCAACTCCTCACGAATTCAGACCTCTGGTTGTGACGACTATGACCAGGACACCATGGTTTCTCAGATTGAGTGATAGAAGAGCTTCTTCACAAACTTTGTCTTCCACTGGCTTCTCCTCCACGATAACCCAAACCAAAGTTACTCTTCCCAACTCTGCCCATGAAAGAATTTTGTCTAAGTCCTTAGTTCCACTATTCAACATGAGAATCTTCTTTTGGTTTCTGAAAGCTCCTGAGTGAGCAGATTATTCTTGTCTTCCTCAGATTTCAGAGCATCTCTCAGCTCCTTGTTCTGACATTGTAAAGCTATTTTTCTTCAATCCATGAAAGCTTTTCTTTACCAAGTAGCAACCAATTGTCATACAACTTCGAAACTCAGATTCAACATCAATCATGAATCATCTTCTTCTTCACTCTCAGATGACATTCCTATCAGATTTGCCTCAGCTTCTGATGAGTCTTCAACTGATTCACTGTCTGATGAGTCACATTTCTCTTCAATAGCAACCATAAACGCCACATACTCCTAACCCCATCAGATTCTTCAACACTATCTTCTGAGTCACTTTCACTCATTCCCATTTCCTATCAGAACCGCTGCACTCAGCTTTAGTGTGACCAAAACCTTTGCATTCAAAGCATTTGATCTCCTTTCTCTTGGCAGTGGGACACTCGGATTTGAAATGTCCGTAACCTTGACATTCATGACATTGTTGATCACTCTTTTTCCTGTTCTGTCGTTGTCTCTCTCCCCACTTGATTGCTTTGAGAATGGTTTCTTGTTTCCTCTTTCTACTCTTTTCAAGAGCTCTGCTGAAGTTCTTAGCCATCAACCCCATTTCGTTCTTGAGCTCTTGAATGTCGTTGCGGTCTCTGCCACAAATGCAATTCCTTTCGAACTCTTCCAAATTGGAGCAATTTCCATCTCATATGCTTGTAAATGGCCAACAATCTCATCCAAGTCCATGTTGTCGGTGTCAAGAGCAGTTCCCATGGCTGTTTTCTTCGTCTCAAATTTGGCGGAAGACTTCTCAACAGTTTCTTGACCAGCTTCTTGTCTTTGTATTTCTTCCCATGTTTTGTGCTTCATTGGCAATTGAGCTGAGTTTTCCACTGAACTCTTCAATAGTCTCAGATTCCCCCATCCGTAGAGTCTCAAAACGAGTTGCAAGCATGTCAATTCTGGATCTTTTAACATTTGAAGTTCCCTCGTAGGCTTGTTTCAGCTTGTCCCAAGCTGCTTTTGCTGACTCACAACATTGATACGCTCAAATTGTTTTTCATTCACAGCATTGAAGATAGCGGATATCGCTCTTGCGTTGTACTTAGCCAGACTCTTCTCATCATCTGTCCATAGAAGTTTATCCTTCAGGAACCTGTGAGCCATCCTCTCCTAAGCAGTAGGAGCGCTCCATCCGGTTTCAACAGCAGTCCAAGCATCTTCATGGATTCCCCTCGAATGACAGCTCGCATCTTCATTTCCAGTGACCATAGTTTCCTTTCTCGAGAATAGGATTTCTGCAGAGCTACCAGCTCCTTTGACGAGTCCATCTTTCCGCAGGATCTTCACCTGTTGTAAAGCTACAACTTGGTTCAGATGCCCGCTCTGATACCAATTGAAAAAGCAGAGGACTCGACGATTCCGAAACACCGGCGCACCGTGTTTCTCTTTATTAGAAATCTTTCAAGATGTTTACACACTCTTAAATTGGAATTACACACAGCCTAAGACAACCCTTAGCTTGTTACCAATTGATTTCTAATCTACACTAAACACAGATTAACAACAGAGTTAATCCCATGTTTCTACACCGATCTGCAATTTAATGCCCTTACGGTTTTTCAACAAGAACAAAAGCTTATCCTGTAACTTTTGTTCTCTAAACGGCTGACCTTTAGAACGCCTCCTTTCTCCGTATTTATATCAGTCGAAAGGCACAGGCTTCTAGGTCGTGGGATTGTCCGTACGAGTCCACCTCAGCACTCAAGACACGTCATTAAAATGTTCCAGTTTAACTGTTCAGCGATGTGTTCCAACACTCTGTTTGTTGTTCCAACAACTCTCCAAGTTCGGCTTCAGCTTCACACCATTACAGCACTTTCATTAACAAGAAGCAATCTCCTGGAGCTGGTCAGCCTCCTAAACCTATAATTGAGAGAAGGTAAATGCAGAAAACAAGCAATTAAGTCCCGACTAAAAAATGATCTCACCAATCACCAGAATAATCTTTCATCTTCCTTTTTCTTTTTTTTTTCTTTTTTCTCGAATTTAGTTTTCAATGTTTGTGAAATCTTGACAATCCCCTCAGTATATGCACTGATGAAGTTATGGAGGCTATTAGAATTTTATCTCTAAACTTCTTAATTAAAATTTTGAATTTGACTCATCATGAGTTCCAAATAATTGTGAGAATATGCTGGACTGAAAACTCCAACTCACATAACTTTGTATCAGTCCCAAATATTTTTTGACATTCTAATGTAAACATACTGTTAACAATTTAATTTAAAGCTATCTATACTATCTAAATATAATAGCAAACTGAATAAATGTCTTTTGTGTTGGCACCTTTTCGTTTTTAACCGTCTTGCTTATAACCGCTCATCTAAAAAGTTGTGTCTTTCTAGGTCACATCTTTTCACTTATAACCGCCTAACTTGACGAACAATTGCAACTTTTAATAATAATGTATTTTCATATATATATATATATATCGTGTAAGATTATTTGATCATTTAATTACAATATTTTTTTCTATCATGTCCTACGTCTCTTATTTTTTGTCCCTTTTTCTCTCATTGTTTTGTTTTTATTTTTCTAATCCCTTTTTTATATCGTAGTTTTTTGTTTTGTTATTCGTTACACAAAATCTCCATTGTTGACCGATCGATTTAAGCGAAGAGATTTAGTTTGAATCTGAATAAATCGAAAGTGTTATGTGGCTACTACTATCTCAATGCCTTAATAAGATAATCTCTCTGAACTTGTAGCCTCTCATGCATGTCATGGTTCTATTTGTCTGTTGCATAACATTCCTTTGAAGTTCTTCTACGACCACATAGAGGGAAAATACGAAGGCGAGACTGTAAAGTTGAGATCAGATGCGTCGGAGAAAAAATGGAAAGTGAAGATGGAAGGCCAAAGACTCACCGAAGGTTGGGAGGAGTTCGTCAAGGCACATTATCTTCGAATCGGTGACTTTATCGTCTTTAGACACAAAACAGATATGAAGTTCCACATCACTGCTGTGAGATCCAATACGTAACGTCTGGTGGCCGTCTCAAAGACAAAGAAGCAGAAGAAGAGCATGTGTACAGATCGGAGGAGGAAGAAGATGATGTGTGAGTGCATGTATAATCCAAGATACATTTTGCTGATTGATGGCAGTGTGTGCCTGATGCCTTCGCCAAGCAAAACGGATTGGACAAAGGCCTTTTAACAAAAAAAAATAAAAAAAAAACGGATTGGACAACGGAAGTCAAGAGATACTTTTGATGAACAAAGAAGGAAAGTCATGGACTCATGGCAATCAGAAGAGAATGAAATATGGCCAGGTTTTCATAGTTCGAGGTTGGACAGCTTTCTGCACCGCAAATAAACTAGAAGTTGGAGATTCTTACTCATTTACACTGCTCCAAATCGCCACAAAGCCTGTGTTTCGGCTCTCCGGACCAACAGAGGGTCAAAAGATGAGTTTTGATCCCCGGAAGATAATAACCGTGTGTACACTTAATTTTACATGAATATATATATAATTATTTGCAAGTTTGTAACGTTAAAAAGTTAAGCAACGTTTTCAGTATTATTACTAAAATCTATCCGTGATAATTTTTTAGATAATTTTTTTCAAGTATCTTCAAGAGTTAACTAATTACATATTCAAATAGCCACATCCTTGTAGATAAACATGCATCCGGAAAATTTTATAGTGAGGTCAAATTTTATTTTGAGTTATTTTTATTTTTTTAATTTATTCAATAATAAATTAATTTTTTTCCAATAAGAAGTATAGACTATAGTCTTTTATTTAGAATTCAGAAATATGGATGTGATTTAAAATACAGGTTTTGATGGTTTTTTTAAATAACTGTGAATCCAGGGGAATCAAATTGTTAATATTTTTTTTTCACGGCCAAAAAAAAATTAAGTTCTTAAAATATTTAAAGTTTATTTGCAATGGCAAAAATAGATTATAAGTATATAATATTTTTATAGGTGCAAAGTATAACAAGACCATACAAGTTCTTAAGTTGTATGTGTTTTTGCAAATCATATATATGAAAAGGGGCCAACTCTTTCCATATTTTGGACATGTGGACAAACTAGCAATTGACATGTGTCATGACTTTTCATATTCTTTTCAATTAACAATTTTAAATCTAAATTATCAACTTTTCATTTTTCTTTCTTTTCAGTTAACAACTTTTCATTTTCTTTTCAATTAATAATTTTAAATATTTTAATTTATTGTAATAAAACCACTATCTTACTTTAAAACTATGATTCTTCAGCTTCCATTTTGAATCACTATTAAAAATCTAAATTCTCCTAATATACGGAAAAGCGGATCCAATGAAGAACAATGACGGGAAACATAGTCTGTTTCATGTATCAGTGAGTAAACAAAGAATTTGATGGCATAAAGATATGTGTTATAATGCAAAAATAGATATTTGAAAAGCACTTGCTAATTATATAAGTTGGAATTAAAATGCCGGTATTATATGGGTAAGATTTTATAATATTAAACACAAATTATAGTTGTTTTCAATATTTTTTAAAAGTTATAACAATAAAAAAAACCCGCGCGTACACGCGGGTATTAGTCTAGTATCTATGAAAGAGCTTCAAGTGAACCGTTGCAACTCTTTCAACCAACTGCAACTTTTGAATCATTACAACCTTTAGAACATTTGCAACTCTTAAAACCATTGTAACATTTCGTATTCTATATAAATAGTTGAAGGAATTGACAAAATATAAAATCAAAAATAAGAAGTAGAGAAAAAGAAAGAGTGCAATAGAGAAAAATTCAATACCTAAAAATCGGTGACCTAAATAATGTGAAAGATTTATCTGATGCTTTGTGTGTAGCAGATGGTTTTCAATTGTTACTGATTCCAGTTTATCAGCGGTGTGGTTTAGAAGGTGAATCTATCAATCATGTCCTCTACTCCTCTTCATGTGTACGGTGGCGAGACAAGTATGGGCACAATCTAACTTTATGTTCCCTCGTGATGGCTTCCATGAATCATCTGTCTTCGTGAACTTCAACTACTTTATGCGAAGCTTAGATAACGTCAATATACCGAACAAGGTTAGTAGAACATTTCCGTGGATCCTCTAGATCATATGGAAGAATCGGTGTAAGTTTCATCTTGTTAAAGTAAAGACACAACTTAGGAATTCAACCTTAAAAAAGAGTCTATTCCTGTTTCTAAACCCGAAATTAACACTTAAATCAGCAAATTAACCTGACCTAACTAAGGGAAACAACACGCGGATCTCTTTAAGGCACAACTTAAAATGAACCGGCGAACCAATTCAATTTCCAGTACAAAACCGGACAACCATTTCACTCCAAAACCGAAATCCTGAAAAAAATCAAAAAAGAAAGCACGCATGTAGATAAAATGTTAGGATCTGCATCATAAATACTAAATAACACAATATACCATAAACGTTTAAAATACAAAATCCCAAAATATTCTTAAAATCCTAAATTTTTCTCTAATTAAAATCTAAATGAGCTTTTCAAAACTTTTTTTTTTGTCAACGAGATTACGAGACCTATGTATTCATTAGGATGATCCAAAAAGATTGGCCTCGTGAACTCCGATATCTCCAAGAGATCCAACTCCGGTCGTTTCTCCTCTCACAACGACGAGGTCTCGATGAACTCATTCCCGGCCAGCCGTTCAGATCTGAGCAGAAGGAGCACTCCTGAACCGGCTTCTACAGCGCCGGAGATCCCGGAATCGGCTTTCGCTCAAACTCGCTATGCCGTTTCCGATGAAGAAGAAAGCGATGATGATGCCTCGCTCATTACCACGGAAGAGGAAAGTTCTACGATCATCCGGTCTTCCACCTCCATCCAAGAAGATGAAGGAGAAAGTTCGATCGCTCCATCTCCAAAGCCGAAAGCCGCCAAAGCACGATCTACTCCGGTGAAGAAAGCTCCGGCTCGAGCTAGTTCACGTGCTAAAGGGAAGGCAAAGCAAACCGAGGGTTCCAAATCCAAGAAACGTCTCTGGACAGGTTTGCTCTTTAGCTCTCGTGGAATTTGGATGAACGAGTTGTTGATCTTAAGTCTGAAGCTAATGGGGATATCCGGATATCATCATCAAGGGAGGTTTTCAATCCACAGTAGTAGGCTTAGGAGTTATGTGAAGTCTCAGATTGTTGATTTCTATGCTGCATTGCCTCAGCCTGGACCGATAGTGTTCGAGTGATGATTCGAGGCTCAGAATATGAGTTCTCTCCGGGTATTATCAACGAGTTTCTCAACTTGAAGCCTCTGAGTGAAGAAGAGAGGAAGATTGAAGCAGATGCAGACTCTGTCTGAAGACACTAGCTCAATATTCACTGCGAATGAGAAGGCAGAGTGGGCTGAGATCTACGATTGGGATGACTCCATGTTATGCATCCTTGGTCATTTGCATCTCACAACTGGATGCCTTCAACTCACAGCAACCATGTGTCTGAGCAGCGAGCTAAGCTTATCTACAAGCTATCTACAGGAGTCAGAGTTGATTTTGGTCAGTTGGTGTATGATCAAGTGATGGGGATGAGCAAACTCCAACACAGAGACTCTCGTGGTTGATGTTCCGCGGATCATCTATGGAGTTCTTCAGATGCAAGCGCCTCTTTCCCTCCTTGATGATGATGTCCTCATTCGTCCTCTTCACTATCAAAGGACAAGCGCTCTGGGAAGGAGTACATAAAGAGAGAAGATGAGAAGAAGAAGAAGATGAAGCAGAGACAATCTTCTACATCTCGGGACCGATCTACATCAGCGCCTGCACAGAGTCTACATCAGAGGCTTCATCTGTGGATCTTGGCTTGTTCGCTTTCCTACTCCTCCACTTCCAACCAGCAGCCGCGATTCAGGCACTCCAGGACATCGTCTACACTCTCCAGACCTTCACGGAGAGTTCAGGGCCTTCTCGCCAACCTACAAGGTAAGTTGAAATCTCTGCACAATCTTGTTCCATATGATTTCATCTTGTGTTTTTAACTTGTGTGGTCTCACAAGCAGGGGGAGAACAGGATGAACCAGGGGACGAAAACTAGGACTTATGCTAGAATTGTGGGGGAGCAAAGCTTTTGTTGTTTTTGCTCTGTTTTAAGTAGTTTTCGGTTCTAGAATTCTGGGGGAGTTGAGAGTTTTTGCTTTGTTTCTAACTCTTTTGTTTTTGGATGTTTAAACTCATAACTCTCATGTTCTGAATGATTTGAATATTTTGAATGTCTAATGATGAAGTATTCAGAACATCCCTGTTTTCTGGTTATCTCTGGTATGTGCATTGTGGATTTGAGTTTTACAGGTGCTTGTAAGACACAAAGCTAAAAAGGGGGAGATTGAAGATGCAACTGGTTTGACGCAGATCGTGAATCAGTCAGGAAGTGCATCAGGACGTATGGACGGACATGTAGCGGAGCTTAACGGAGCTAAAGGATTGATGCTGAGCTGGATGCGAGCTTGTAGCGGTTAAGGACGAATCCAGAAGAGGCGGTAGCTGAGCTGGATGAGGAGATTTGGAATTATCAAGACAAAAGGAATATTTCCTATTCTTAGAGAAAAATAAGGAAAGGAAATATTCCCTTGGAGATTTGGAGTAATCACCAAGACACAACCTTGTAGGGTTTGGCGGTTCGTCTATTGAGGATAAATAGAGGACCTTGGCTGCTTGGAAGCGGCTATCACAAATATTGAGAGCTTTAGACTTTGGGTTTAGATCATCTTGTAAGAGAGCTAGGACAAAGGGTTAGGGCTTGAGAGGTTCGAAGATCGTGGATAGATCTGAGAACAGAGTGTTACTAGAGCAATCAAATCGTGGATAGATTGTGGTTGTCAAACTCCAATACAGAGACTCTCGCTGGTTGATGTTCCGGCGGATCATCTATGGAGTTCTTCAGATGCAAGCGCCTCTTTCCCTCCTTGACGAGATGTACTCGTTCGTCCTCTCATTATCACAAGGACAAGCGCTCTGGCAAGAGTACATAAAGAGAGAAGATGAGAAGAAGAAGAAGATGAAGCAGAGACAATCTTCTACATCTCGGGACCGATCTACATCAGCGCCTGCACAGAGTCTACATCAGAGGGCTTCATCTGTGGATCTTGGCTCTGTTCGCTTTCCTACTCCTCCGCTCAACCAGCAGCTGCGATTCAGGCACTCCAGGACATCGTCTACACTCTCCAGACCTTCACGGAGAGTTCAGGGCCTTCTCGCCAACCTACAAGGTAAGTTAAATCTCTGCACAATCTTGTTCCATATGATTTTCATCTTGTGTTTTTAACTTGTGTGGTCTCACAAGCAGGGGGAGAACAGGATGAACCAGGGGACGAAAACTAGGACTTATGCTAGAATTGTGGGGGAGCAAAGCTTTTGTTGTTTTTGCTCTGTTTTAAGTAGTTTTCGGTTCTAGAATTCTGGGGGAGTTGAGAGTTTTTGCTTTGTTTCTAACTCTTTTGTTTTTGGATGTTTAAACTCATAACTCTCATGTTCTGAATGATTTGAATATTTTGAATGTCTAATGATGAAGTATTCAGAACATCCCTGTTTTCTGGTTATCTCTGGTATGTGCATTGTGGATTTGAGTTTTACAGGTGCTTGTAAGACACAAAGCTAAAAAGGGGGAGATTGAAGATGCAACTGGTTTGACGCAGATCGTGAATCAGTCAGGAAGTGCATCAGGACGTATGGACGGACATGTAGCGGAGCTTAACGGAGCTAAAGGATTGATGCTGAGCTGGATGCGAGCTTGTAGCGGTTAAGGACGAATCCAGAAGAGGCGGTAGCTGAGCTGGATGAGGAGATTTGGAATTATCAAGACAAAAGGAATATTTCCTATTCTTAGAGAAAAATAAGGAAAGGAAATATTCCTTGGAGATTTGGAGTAATCACCAAGACACAACCTTGTAGGGTTTGGCGGTTCGTCTATTGAGGATAAATAGAGGACCTTGGCTGCTTGTAAGCGGCTATCACAAATATTGAGAGCTTTAGACTTTGGGTTTAGATCATCTTGTAAGAGAGCTAGGACAAAGGGTTAGGGCTTGAGAGGTTCGAAGATCGTGGATAGATCTGAGAACAGAGTGTTACTAGAGCAATCAAATCGTGGATAGATTGTGGTTGTCAATTCGTTTAAGCAATACTTGTAAGTTACACTTAAAGAATTTCTAGTAATATATTTCTTTGTAGAGAAATCCCTTGTGCCAATTTGTGATCTACTTCCATATCAATAGCCTTTGGTTTTTCATTCATCTCCAATTTGCTTAATGATTCTTTTATCTACTGTTGGTGATTCTCCAAAATTTTTTATCTTAGACGTTGCAACGCGATTTGGTTTATCAGTATATAACCAAGAAAATTAATTTGTGAAGTTCTTTAAGTTTTGAGAACAAATCTGTTAATGAAATATGCGAGAATTGGTATCTCAATTATTGATGAGTATTAGTAATTTTGGTATACACCGTTTTTTGGTTATGAACTTGTGATTCTAGCTGCAAGAGTTACCTTAGATGCGATTATAAAATAGGATTGAGATTTTGAATATATGTCTTTATATTTGTGCTGTGGTGTTTTTTTCAGTTTCATGTGAATGGTTTTCATCGGGCAAATAATACAAGTTTCGAGAGCCTATGATCGCAGAATATATTGTGGAATAAAGGCGTAGCGAGATGTCTTGTAACATTACACAATGCAGGAGACATAATAATCAAAGAAAACAATATATTAAAGATAGATACTATATAGTTTCTACAATGATTAAATTCGTAAGATAACAACAAATGAGTGTCATTTCTAATAGAAGAGACTAAGAAAGATATCAATCTTTCAAACTCCAGTTCACTCAACCAATAACCATTGAACATTAGCATAAAGCTTCCATGAAAGTAGAACATTTATTTCTTATTTTGCGATTACAATTGCTTAGCACACATATATACAATACACTCTAAACATATATTTGTCCTAATAGCACATAACAGTATAAATATGATCTAAACATATACGATCAATTTAAACATACCACAAAACTGCTTAAAAAGGTTTCAAACTCAAAGATGTGCCTATCTTCTCCAACAACAGAAAACACAGAGGAACTCCAAAATGAGACTCAAACATCCTTCTCCTTCACTGAAACCTCTATCTTCTCCTCAACTGACGTCTCTGTCTTCTCCTCCACCAACTGTGCTCCAGTAATCCTCACCAGCACAACCGAAATCTATTGCACCCGATTTCGGTTGTTTGTTGGCTCAACCGTACGACCGAACCCATTCTTCATGGGTGATGCTTTGTTTTTGCTGCATGAAAGAGTTGACAGGACTGAATCTTCTTCTTCACATTGACAATAAGGTGTGTGCAAGACTTCTTTTAGAACTTTGGCCTCTTCTTTTTGTTCAGATTTTGGTCTTGTTTATTCTATTTATAAAACTTTTTCCAAAAAGCCAACAAAATCAAATCAGAATATGAGTTTTATAATAAAATTCAAATAACACAAACATAAAATACAAAAGAATTCAAGAACATGCAACACAAAAATCTTAAAATAACAACTATTAATTAAAAAAACTAAAACCTATATATAAATGAACGTACTATCAAGCATGAATATTGCGATGGGTAAAAATGTTCATACTTTTAATTCAGAACATCGCTTAGTGCTCTTTCCTCTATATATTAATTTTTTTTTCCCAAAAGGCAACAAAATCAAATAAGAAATATCAGCTTCATAATAAAATTCAAATAACATAAACACAAAATACAAAAGAATTCAACAACATGCAACTCAAAATCTTTAAGATGACAACTATTAATTAACAAAACTAAAACCTATACATACTATCAAGCTTGAATAATTGCGATGAGTAAAAATGTTCATACTTTTAATTCAGAACATCGCTTAGTGCTCTTTCCTCTATATATTCTTTTTTTTCCAAAAAAGAATGTAACTCGAATCAGAAATATCAGTTTCATAATAAATTTCAAAGAACACAAACACAAAATACAAAAGAATTCAAGAACATGCAACACAAAATCTTTAAGATAAATGAACATACTATAAGACTTTAATAATTGCCATGAGTAAAAATGTTCATAATTTTATTCAGAACATCGCTAAGTGCTCTTTTAACGATATATGCTCCAAACTACAATTAAAGAATAGTTGAAAATAGAGACAGAGAAAAGCAAGTTGCACAAAATCCCTAAAGAAGGTCCTGTAAATTCTTGATTTTGCCGGTTATACCTTTTCCTAATCATTTTCAAGGGTAACATTGATGGCATCTACTTTGGACGCAAACCTAAGAAAAGTGAAACCACAAACAACAGCGATACATTCCTCAACAGCAGCCTCAAGCTAAATGAAATCAAGATTAATATTATAGTTCCATGTAGTATACTCATAATGAAAATTTAAGCGTGATTCAGAAAATTTACCTCTGTAGATTTAAGAGCATCTTCAACTCGTAGCCTCTTTTCTTCAAGCTCTGTCTCAGTTTGTGAGTCAATTTACCTGAACAACAATGGTCTGATGATATTGATTAAGAACATGATTAACAGTATGATCGTTGAAAAAAATATCACCTGGATAACTAATATAGGCAAATGTCATCTCGATCCCTTCCGGAGATATTGCATGTTATTGTGCAAACCTTCATGCGTTGTTTCTGATTCGGACATTAACATTAAAAATGGCATTAGAGAAGAAAATATTTGAACCAAATCTTATTAAAAAAAAAACTAAGAATATGTTATTCAAGTAAATGACATTAGAGAAGAACATGTCGCACGACACTGCAATTCACCATATAATATGTTAGAATATATTCCTTACAAACACGAAACTCATTACAAAATGCATGAAATCTTACTAACAATATAAAGGTTTCGGTGTGAAGGATGGTGAGACTTCTACATGGAGAATGTTCTGTTTAAATAGAGAAAATAACAGCTGGTTCTCTGTTTAGGTTTAGTCACTCTGGGAATATCTCCTTCATTAACTACATATCTCATTTGATGGAAAGTAGTATTGTGATTGACATGTGTATATATTATCTTATAATTACAGATATACAATTTAGAAAGTTCTCAAAAACTTAATTCTTCCATGTCAAAGTAATGAATGCCGTAATTAACTTGAAGAAGAAGATATGAAATTGATATTTGGTAATCGGAATTAACTCATGTAATTTGTAATATTAGATTATTCTAACTTGGTAATAATACTAAAATCGGATTTCTAACTTAAGGAAATTCAAGAAAACTTAATTATGACAATAATATATATGGAAATGTCGAACAACTTGAAGAAGAAGTTTAGCATCTTTTTTAATGGGAATACAATAAACTATATATGTTTCCATTGTATCTTTGTACAATCACGTCAAATATGTAAAGTATAAGACAATATGATTGGAAATATTAATAATCATATATCCGACTGGATTTATAACAAAAATGGGCCTGTCACTCGTGCATTTCAGGGTTTAATTAAGGCCCAGTAATATAGTTTCCGAAAAGTGATTTTATGGTGTAAATGAAAGATCCGACCCGAAGATCCGCGTCTTTATCCGAATTGCAAGTAAATAATTTATTAAAATAAATAAAAAATAAGTCAAAAAAAACTGAGAGCTTACCACATTAGCAAAACTGCATGGTCTTTAATATATTGTAGGATTTAAAAAAAAAAAAAGTTTAATTATTCGAGTTTAATAAAGGGATATTTGGGGAAATTGATCATTTTTTTTGTTTTGTTTTAGATACTAGCATTAATAATTTAGATTTAAAAGTTTAGACTTTTTTTGGGGGGGTCACCGGGAAAATCTCGCATTATTCTACGACTGAACTCTGGTGGTTAAAGTTAGACACTTTGTTATTCTGTAATAGTCACGGATCACGATCTTGGGATTTGTTTTTTTTTTATTCTTGGTTCCTTGTGCCAAAAGCTGAGTTAGTTAACAACTTAACATTGATCGATTCAAACGTTTTAAGCCGTAGATCTTTTGTTTTGTCCTTACCCATCATCTTGATCTTTTATCTTTTTTTTTTCACCATTATTGTCATGGCAAGTCGTCCGTTTCGTTGCTCCGTAATTTTCAATCATAACTAGCGTACAAGTCAACCCAATTACCATTACCTGCTTTACGGATGGATCTTGGTGTAAGGAGTCCTGCATCGGAGGAGCGGAATGGGTCTTCGTAGACAAAGACGGGAACGAACAACACTGAGACAAAGCAGCAGAACGATCTCTTCACCACTGATGGCAGAAGCAATGGCCATCCGATCGGTACTTAACCAAGCACTAGATCACGGCATCACCAACATCAAACTCTACTCAGACGCTCAGGATCTCATCCGAGTCATCAACTCGCAGGAGCAAGTAAAGGAGATCTATGGTCTCCTTTTCGACATCTTCACTTTTGTATCTATGTTCACTTCGATTTCGTTTCATTTTGTTCCTAGATCTAAGAATTTTCTCGGTGACTCTCTTGCAAAGATCGCCAAGGAAAACTTAGAGCATGTTTAATGGGGGAAGCTTAGTGGAGCGCTTAGGCAAAATATAAATCAAAATCAATTTTAGACGGAGAAGTCGACGCTTATTGAAGCAGAACAAGCGCCGGTGCTCACTGCCACGTGGCAGAAAATGATTGGTTGTTGGTTAATGAGAAGAAAAAAAAAACGAATTTTCTCATTTTTCTCTTTCGTTTCTCTCTCCTCCTCCCTCTCTCTTCTCCGTTGCTCTTCGCTGACGATTTGGCTACTCGGTGATTCAAAGGTTTCATCGATAAGGGTGGAGATCCTGAGAAGGTTCCTTTCTCTCGAGATCCCTTCTCTTTTCGCTTAGATTCTATGACGGTTTACCTCTATCAAAATTCGATCTGTATCTGTTTTTTTTTTTTAATCTTACTTGGGTTTTTAGTTTGATTTCGATTTTCCGATCGATTGAGCGCTTGTTGAGTTTTTAATCTCAAATTTCGATCCGATCGGAAAAGTATGAGTTCTAGGTTCACTCGATTTCGTGCTGTGTTTCTCTTAAATCAAGACAATTTTGAGCTTTGATATACTTAATTGTGATGGTATTGTGTAAATTTGTGATCTTGATTGGAATAATTCATACATGTCATTGCAGTTGAAAGAGCTAGCTCAGGCTTATGAAGTTCTTATTAACCCGGAGAAGAGAGAGATATATGACCAGTATGAAGTAGACACACTCAAGGAAGGAACGGGTGGTGGAGGAGGTGGTCATGACCCATTCGATATCTTCTCATCCTTCTTTGGTGGTGGGAGCCCGTTTGGAGGTGAGTGTCTCTTGGACATTCTCTACTCTGATTTGAATCTGATAATGCAATCGAGAATTTTCTTGGAGAATCTGCTCACAAATTGAATATACCACTTGCATGCTCTTATCTTCCAAGTTTAATCCAAAATAATTAGAGTTCACTTGTTTGTTTTCTCTTTTACTTCTTTGAACAAGGTTGTTAGTCATATTGATTTTCGTTTCTTTTCGTTTGCCATATTGCCACTTGGTTTGTTTCACTTCTTTTGGTTGCTTCATATCCAATTCATAAGGTGATATTGTAATATGTACGCAGCAAGGAAATGGGAAGGACCGAAGGAGGAAGCCGGATGGAGTTTGATAGAGCCGCGTAAAGGTGTGATTCACACAATGTAAAGCTAAAGGAGATGAGAGAAAAGCTGAAAGCAGCAAGACACTGGACAACTTCCGCGGATTGAACGAGAGTTTCTCGGAGAACAAGGATTGAAAAGCCAATGTGAGTTCGATGAGGGAAGTGATCGTTGTGGTGTGATGAAATTTTGGTGAATTCTGATGATGTGCTTGAGCTTGATGACAGAGGGACACCTCTTGATGTTCCTTTAGACAATGGTGAAGCCACTAGAGATGGAGATGAGGAAACAGAATTAAGAATCGATCAAGATGTTCCTACAAAGTTGAGAGTATACCTTGTTGATGCTTTTGCGTTATGACACATTCAGAATTCTATGTATTTCCTGCAAAAAAAAATTATCATTTTTTTAAGCACTCCAATAGGATTCTCCCATTAAAGCAGAAAAAACTACTAATGTTTAGTAGGGGTGCTTAACACAACTTTAATAATAAAATACTCTATAAGCATTCTATAAGCTCAGAAACTTCCTAGTAAAATACACATTCAATACTCAACCTTGGTAGAAAAGGAAATTCTAAATTCAAATTGGGACTAACTCGTAATTATGACGTCACTTTTCGAACGTTAGAATTTTTATCAACGAAAAAGAAAATTTCCAACAAGCAAAGATAGTTAGTGACTCTAATCACAATGATTAAACCCCTAAGCTCCACGGAAAAATGGAAAAAGGAAAAAAGTGTAAGCAGAGGGCTTAACTATATAAGAGAGCACGAGAGGCATTTTCTTTCTCACATTCGTTCATTCGCAATTTCTCTCATTCTAATTTCCTTCTTCTTCCTCCTCAAGTTATTGCTCTCAAAGTTTAGGTTTTTAGGTCCGATCATCGATCATGTATTACAGTGATCTTGTAGCCGTTGCGGAGAAGGACATGACATCGCGTAATTTCCTCTGTTTGGTTGATGCCGCCGTTATGCTCTACGAAGAAGCGAAAGAAGAAAGCGACGAGAGAATCTTCCATCGTTTCCCGAGAAAGCCAAGATCTTCGGTGGAGAAATTTGTTACCAGTAGAAGAAACCCACAACAAAACTATCAGAATCTCAATGGTGCTTCTACTTCTTCTTTGTCTCCATCGCTTCTCGGAGATTACAAGATCACGGCTGAGCCGGAGAAGACGGCGATGATGATTTACCCGCGAAACCCTCTTCAATGGCACTCTTCTTCTTCTTCGTCATCGCTTCTTCTCGACCTTAACACGATCCCGGCTGATGATTCCGAGAAAAGACCCACAAAACCCTAATCTTGCTTCTTCTCCTTCTTCACCCTTTCTCGGAGATTACAAGACTACGATGAGAATCCCACGAAACCCTAATTCCCAATTGTCTCTGTCTTCGTGCCTAACAGAGAAGAAGAGCCGCAAGAGACGTGCCCTGCAAGATAACAAGCGTGCTGTTGTTAAATCCAAGAAGGCGAAGCTTGATGATACGTACTCATGGATAGGGAGAGAGACTCCTGAGTCGCTAATCGATTTGATGCTAGACAAGAACGAGTCTGTAATCAAATGGGGAGAGAGGACAGACTGAAGCTGATTTTTCAGAGGAAGCTGTTCAAAACAGATGTGACTCCTGGTGAGAGCCGTCTCTCTATGCCTTTCAACGAACTCATCTGTAAAGACTTCTTGACACCTTCGGAGCTGAGAGTCATAAGAGAAGACATCGACAATGCTAACAAGAGAGGAGTTGGAGCGATTCTTGTGGATGAACAGAACGTGAAATATGGTGTCATGTTGAAAAGATGGGAGATGAAGA